TCAGTGCGCTGCCCCGCGGCCTCAGAAGTGTCCGAAGTGCCCCCACGCCGTGCTGGCGCCTCTGGCCCACCCTCCTCTCGTGGACTGTGGTGCTGAAGGCTGACCCTTTGTCTTGTAACATTTGAGTGGCCACTTCAGGGTGGGCCTGGCGGGGCAGAGGGAAGGACTGGGAGCCCACTGAGATGGGGCCTCGGTGTGCGCCAGCACGTCCGGTGAGGGACGGGGAGCGGCTGGCTTCCGAGGACCCTGTGAGGAGCAGCATTTCAGTCCCAAAGGAGCCACGGAAGCCATGCCCTCCGCCACCCTCCACTGCATGCCCAGGACAGGCTCCGAGGCCCTTTCATGGCATGTTGCTTCCAGTGACGACAGCGTAACTCGGGCAGACGGCACAGAGCAGGTGGGACCCTCGATGGTGCATGACAACCCAGCTAAGACCAGCTCTGTTGGGGCCGGTCCGTACCCCAGAGCACGGAAGGTGCTCCTTGGCCGGCAGGTGGGCTAGCTTTCCTCCGAAGCCAGGATCTAGCTGTGTGAGGACGCAGGGACCATTGGACACAGGTCCCGTTTGCTGAGGTGTGGGCCGGGGTCCTCCCATACTGCCCTCACTTTTGCGGCTGCTGCCGAGTCTGTAGTGTGCTCAAGCTCAGGAAGACACCCTGCTCCGTGGGGTCCTTGTGTGTGAGACCGTTAGACATCCTCGGGCTCCTAGCAGACCATGGGTCTTGCCCCCCCCCCCCAGTGCACATGTGGACCATGAAACCCCCCCCATGCATATGTGGACCATGGAATCCCCCCCAGTGCACATGTGGACCATGGAACCCCCCCATGCATATGTGGACCATGGAATCCCCCCCAGTGCACATGTGGACCATGGAACCCCGCCCAGTGCACATGTGGACCATGGAACCCCCCCGTGCACATGTGGACCATGGAACTCCCCCATGCACATGTGGACCATGGACCCCCCCCCCCCCAGTGCACATGTGGACCATGGAACCCCCGCCGTGCACATTTGGACCCCCCCCCCCGTGGACATGTGGACCATGGAACCCCCCCCCCCGTGCACATGTGGACGATGGAACCTCCCCCAATGCACATGTGGACCATGGACCCCCCCCCAGTGCACATATGGACCATAGAACCCCCCCGTGCACATGTGGACCATGGAACCCCCCGTGCACATGTGGACCATGGAACCCCCCCGTGCACATGTGGACCATGGAACCTCCCCCAATGCACATGTGGACCATGGACCTCCCCCCCCCAGTGCACATGTGGACCATGGAACCCCCCCCGGTGCACATTTGGACCCCCCCCCCGTGCACATTTGGACACCCCCCCCGGTGGACATGTGGACCATGGAACCCCCCCATGCACATGTGGACCATGGAATCCCCCCCCAGTGCACATGTGGACCATGGAACCCCTCCCAGTGCACATGTGGGCCATGGGACACCCCCCCCCGTGCACATGTGGGCCATGGAAACCCCCCCGTGCACATGTGGGTCATGGAAACCCCCCGTGCACATGTGGGCCATGGACACCCCCCCCGTGCACATGTGGGTCATGGAAATCCCCCGTGCACATGTGGGCCATGGAAACCTCCCGTGCACATGTGGGCCATGGAAACCCCCCCCCCGTGCACATGTGGGCCATGGAAAACCCCCGTGCACATGTGGGCCATGGAAACCCCCCCGTGCACATGTGGGTCATGGAAAACCCCCCCGTGCACATGTGGGTCATGGAAAAAAACCCCAGTGCACATGTGGGTCATAGAAACCCCCCCAGTGCACATGTGGATCATGGAACCACCCCAGTGCACATGTGGACCATGGAAACCCCCCCAGTGCACATGTGGATCATGGAAACCCCCCCCCCCAGTGCACATGTGGACCATGGAAACCCCCCCGTGCACATGTGGGTCATGGAAACCCCCCCGTGCACATGTGGGCCATGGAAACCCCCCGTGCACATGTGGGTCATGGAAACCCCCCCGTGCACATGTGGGCCATGGAAACCCCCCCGTGCACATGTGGGCCATGGAAACCCCCCGTGCACATGTGGGTCATGGAAACCCCCCCATGCACATGTGGGCCATGGAAACCCCCCCGTGCACATGTGGGCCATGGAAACCCCCCGTGCACATGTGGGCCATGGAAACCCCCCCGTGCACATGTGGGTCATGGAAACCCCCCCGTGCACATGTGGGCCATGGAAACCCCCCGTGCACATGTGGGTCATGGAAACCCCCCCGTGCACATGTGGGCCATGGAAACCCTCCCGTGCACATGTGGGCCATGGAAACCCCCCCCCCCCCGTGCTGAAATACCCCCCTGCCGCTCCTGCCTCAGTGAGTGCTGGTGGCAGCTGGCCAGGGAGAGTGGCGTGGGAGCAGCGCTGCAGTGGCCTGTGTGGCGTCGACGTGCTCGGACGGAGCCTGACTGCGCCGCTTCGCAGAGCCAGCGGTCCCTGGTCCTTGGGACGGAGCAGAGGCGCCCTGAGCGGGTCAGGGGCCGCACCCTGCAGGCCGGAGGGCTCTGTTCTGGGCCGGGGCTGTGGGTGCGTACCTGTTCCCAATTTCAGTCCTTCCGCGTAGCAGGATTTATTTTAGTTCACTTTTGAAAGTAGACGTTTGGCTGGGTTCCGCTCGAACACCCCTGTCTTCAGTTCTGAGGCCAGAGTCAGAGAAGCGGGGTTCTAGGGACCCGAGCTCAGAGTTGCTTCCAGGTCAGTTCCATGTTAAGCTCTCATCAGAGTATGGGATCTGTTCTTACTGTGTTTTTTTTTCCTTAGAAAAATTAAGTTGTAGACGTTTTATTTTAAATTGCTCATAATAGTTTTAATCTGCAGAAAATAGCTTGTCAGCAGCTTTCCTTTCTTCATAGAATAGTCTTGCTCTTCACACATGTTAACGAGATACTGGGTGCAGAGAACTCAGATTGTACCTTACATGGAAGTCAGCTCATCTTAGAGACCTTTGCAGCCACGAGCTCAGCCTGTGACACGTTCGTTCATCCCCATGGAGGGCAGCGGGAGCCTTCCTGGGCACTGACGGGCAGTCCCTGCTGCGGTGCACAGCGGGTGTGTGAGTGGGGAGCAGAGCAGCCGGCCCTCATTCCCCAGATCTGAGCGTGCGGAGGGCTGCATTGCCCCACGACGGGACACGGAGACGTGGTGCTGTGCAGAGGCTGCAGGGCTGACCGTCCCCGTGCTTCTGTTCTGTGGCTGTGATGTAAGCTGATGGTGTCCACCCAGACGGGAGGCGGGTGCGAGTGTGCAGTGACGCTGTGGGTGCCCCGGGGACCTGAGCCGCCGTTCGGACTCCAGGATGACACTGTCCCTAGGGCTGCTGTGCGCCGTGGACTTCAGTCACGGTGTCTGTGGCGGTGGTTTCCAGTCTTTTTGTAATAGTTGAAAGATCTCGCTTCCTTCTGGTTTTTGGCCCAAAAGTAAATATTGTGAGACTGTGAAGCGTATTTCTGCCTGCCCCTCATTTAGGCAGTACATGAGTGCTAAGCCACTGAAAGGGACCCCGAGTTGCACATCGGCCCCTTGGGGTGTAGGCAGTATGGGGGGGACCCATTGTTCAGAATGTCGCCGTCCTGCTGTCCTGACCTGAAGAGCCGCAGCGGGCCACTGGGTGCCCATTTCCGGAGATCGCCAGAGCAGGGCTGGCAGGGCCTGGGACGCGGGGCGGGGCGGGGCGGGGCGGGGCGTGCCTCCACCAAGGGCACGGCGGCCCTCCGGCGTCTGCTCAGATCTGCAAGCGCACCTTCGGACGGACGTCCTCCCTGGCGTGCGCCTGTCCTCATGAGCCTGGCGCACATGCGGCTCTGAGCACGGGTGTCGGGTAGAGGCTGACACAGGAGCAGGACCCCCTGCACCCCTGCTATCCTGCGCGTGCAGCCGGGCTCCGAGTCAGCGCTCCTGGAATCCAGCCCCACTGTTCTGTGTGTGCTGTCCCCGCGGGGCCTTGTCCTGACCTTAGGGTGACGTTGCAGTGCCTGGGAGAAGTCAAGCTCCCTGGGTGTCATCTTCCAGGGGGCAGCAGCGCACCGGCAAGAGGCGTGTGCCACACTGCTCCAGGTGCTCCCACAGGCTCTCCTGCAGTCGTCACAGCAGCCACCTGGGAGCGGGGAGGGGCAGAACCAGGTCCCCATGGAGTAGGCTGGCCTAGGCCCTCCACTGACCAGACGGCAGACCGGGGAGGAAGGGCATGGAAAGTGCTGCTCATGCCCACTGTGCCCAGCTCAAGAAGTCGACTGTGATGTCAGTTTTCTCCACGTGACCCTCAGTGCCCATGGGTGTTCTCTCCAGAGCGCGTGACCCTCGTGAGCTGAGACTGGTCCACACTGGGAGTTGCCTGCCTGCCTGCCTCTCTCGCCTCAGCCCTGGAGCAGCCTCTGACTCGCATCGCCAGGTCTTAGGGTGTCCTGCTCTCGAGCGGCACAGCAGTCGAAGGCTGGCGTGCTGGGCTGCTCCGGCGTGCTCTTCGGTCTGCCGCCGTCCCCGTGTCTGCTGCTCCCCTTGCCATCGCGAGCTAGTGCTCCGGCGTGGGCGCCACTTGTGTTCCGCTGGGAGGCACGTCGGGGCGCGTGGAGCGGCTGTCCTGTGTGACCGTCGTGCACGTTCCCGACGGGGCTGTGGGCAGATGCGCCCGTGTCTCGTGAGCCCCACAAGCGGTTGGCTGCGAGTTTCGCCTCTTTTCCGTCGTTCTCAGAAGGGCGTTCCCAGCTGGCAAGGCAACAGAGATCGTCCTGTTTTCTCCTGGGGATCCAGTCATTCTAACACTTCAGAGGTCAGGAGACCTCTGGGCTCCAAGTAGCCTGTTTGCGGCACACTGAGCGGAGTCGGTGGGCTTGTGGAAGCGCTGGCTGCGGACAGGACTTGCCCTGGCCGCGGCACCTGCGCCGAGACAAGCTGGCCCCTCGCTGATTCTGTCGTGCGTGTCATCTTGTCTCGCCCCGGCTCTGATCTCTTTTCCCCTTCCCTCCTCCCAGCACCAGCAGGAGCTGCTCGCCATGAAGCACCAGCAGGAGCTGCTGGAGCACCAGCGGAAGCTGGAGAGGCACCGCCAGGAGCAGGAGCTGGAGCAGCAGCACCGGGAGCAGAAGCTGCAGCAGCTCAAGAACAAGGAGAAAGGCAAAGAGAGTGAGTGCCACGCCCAGGCCCTCGCCAGTCCTTCCTCCTGGTCCTAGAGTGCCGTGTCCCCCCTCCCAGGGGCTCTCCTAGTCACCTTAGCTTCTGTCTCCACCGTGGCTTCCTCCTCCTGGGGCTGCGGGCGTGCAGCAGGGCTTTTGGCTCGACTGCTCGGCAGATGCTAGAGGCCTGGAGGCTGAGCCGCAGCGCACAGAAGACAGTGCCTCTCAGCCACGAGCTCCGTCCCGCGTGTGTCAGGGCTCTGTTGTGAGAGCGTAGTGTGAGTGCCTTGGGACTGGTGCTGGCTGGTAGGACACCGGGCTCGGCAGGCGCCGTGCTGTGCTCAGGTGTGAAGACCAGTGTGGTCTGTCACCCTAAGAAACGCCAGACTTGGTCTTAGCCTGGAGGCCACTCTAGGTGCTGTCCTGTCCTCCGAAAAATCCCCCACATCTCAGGGAAGAGGCCACAGCCCCTCTGCTGACCGCCTGGCCACTGGACAGAGTGACGGGCCTGAGTGAGGCCGGTGTGTCCCCTGCAGCGGTGTCCCCCCCGACCGTGAGAAGGGAGCACTCCCTGGGCGTCGTGCCGCTTCCTTCCGCAGCGTGGCTCCGCCTCCCGCTGCCGCCCGGCGCCCGTGCTCAGCTGCGCTCGCTTGTCCCCGCCTCGCTGAGAGTGGCGCACGGCTCTGTCCCTGGCAGGGCCTGGGCACCGACAGTCAGGCGAGTTGCCCGCCCGGCGCCCACGACGAGCAGTAGAAGACTTGACGTGCTTCACCAAGACAGAACCTCACAGTCCCAAAGGTCCTTCAGCTTCAGCTTCTGAAAACGGCTGGCCATCTGCACAGTCATTTTAACAAGCGCTTGTTAAAATTAATGTCGTATGCACTACAGCCTTCTCGCGAAGTCAATTTGAAACTTTTTTTTAAAAAATTTTTTTTCTTTTATTGATTTTACAGAGAGAGGAAGTGAGAGGGAGAGAGAGAGAAACATTGAGAGAGAACATCGATTGTCCGCCTCCTACACGCCCCCCACTGGGGATCAGGCCCATGACCTGGGCATGTGCCCTGGCCGGGAATCGAACTGGCAACCTCCTGGTGCAGGGTCGACGCTCAACCACTGAGCCACACCGGCCGGGCCATTTGAAGCTTTTTTAAAGAGAGTTGTACTGGCATGTGACAGACATATAGAAAAGCCCCAACCTCAGTGTCCAGGGAGCTCGCAGTGTCCAGGGAGCTCGCAGCTCAAGGACCACCCTGTGTCACTGTCCCCAGGCACGCCCCTGGGGCCCCGACAGTCACCACCCGCTCTCCTTCCCAAGGGTGACTGCTCCCTGACACCCCAGGAACTTCTCTTGCTTCTGAAATGAGTAGGGTCATTATCGGGGCTCCTGCACTTTCCTTCTCACTTGTACTGGGCTCACCGAGCCGTCCTCACTGGTGTTCTCTCCGCCGATGTGCGGGCCGCCACGCTGTGCGCGTCCGGGCCGGGCCTGGGGCGGCGGCCCCTGCGACCGGGCGCTGCGGGACCTCGGGTACTTGGTGCTCAGCTGTCGTCCACGATGCCAGGTGCTTATCCAAGTCGCTGTGCCAGTGTCGCGGCCACCAGCTGCAGAGCAGTTCTGTGGTCCGTGTCCCGCCAGCAGTGACTCCTCAGTCACTGTCCTGCTGGGCGCAGCAGTTCCTCGTGGCTCTGGGCGCGGGGGCTGTGCGATGGGCCAGAGGGTGCCCCAGGTGAGTGTGTGGGGAGCCGACCCCCATGTCCCTTTCTCGGGGGTGGGGTGCAGCGGCTCTGCCCACGTCCTGGACCAGCCGCGGGCAGCTCGCACAGAGCACATCCTTCCTCCGCACCCCGCCCCTCCCCTCTCGCCCAGGCTCAGCCCTGACGGCTACTCGCCCGTCTTTCCCGAGTCAGGGTTAGAATGCAGTCTAGTCTATGATCATGCCTGTATTGTCTTCTACACTTTGTGAACTTATCTCTTCAAACGGGGATTATTTTTGTCCTGAAAAGATCTATTTTTATTTCCTTTATTATTAGTTAACTTACCTATTGAGCTATTTGTAAGCTCGTAGTGATTGTTTCTATACATAAAATTTATATTTCCGCAAGTGTTTGTTATTACAGCGGTTTACTCTTTTTTTTAATCCTCACCCAAGGACATTTTTCCATTTTTTGTTCAGATAGAGTGGGAGGGAGAGAGAGGAAGAGAGAGAGAGAGAGAAACATCAACACGAAAGGGACACATCGAGTGGCTGCCACCCACACGACCCAACCAAGGCCGGGGACAAACTGCAACCGAGGCACGTGCCCTTAGCAGGAACGGATCCTGGGTCTCTCTGGACCACAGGCCAATGCTCTAACCGCTGAGCCAAACCAGCTAGGGCCAGCAGTTTACTCTTAAAATAATATCTTCTTAAACCTGATGGCGCGTCAGTAGAGAGAGCTCATCAGGAGAGCGGGTGCTCCCGCGAGGTCTGCCTTGCAAGTGACGCGTGAGAACAACGCCTGCATCCAAGGAGCCGCTCAGTCCTGTCACAGCGTGAGGGCGCGAGGCCACTGCATGCTTCACTGCAGACTGGCTGGCTGTGTGCACTCCCGTGTCAGAGCAAGGTGGGCACCCCGTGTGGGAGCGCAGGGGGGCACCCCAGTGTTGGAGTGCAGGCATGGCCCTGCAGGGGTTAGCTGGGACCCAGGGTCCATCACCCTCGCTCGTTGCTCTCACTGCTCAGCCTGCTGGCTCAGAGGGTACCCTTCTTCCACGCCACTGCCTGTTCTGGGTGCTGACTTTTTCACACTGCGGGTGCAGCCAGGGCGCCGGCCCCGTGAAGGCGCAGCACGTGGAGCAGGCGCCCATGTGTTCATCTGGAGTGGGTGTGGCAGCAGTGCTGTTGTCCCTGACAGTCCCGGCCGAGTGCTGTGTGGCCAGAGTGAGAGTGGGAGTCTGAGCCCTCCGGCTCGTTGTCAGGAATCTGAGCACCTGGAGGCTCTGGGGCCTGCCACACGCGGCCCACCCTGCGGGGCTGCCTTCCACTTCAGAGAGCCGCCACCACAGACAGCAGCACGGGCTTCGCGGGGCCTGTCGACCTGCGTGCACCCGGACGGGGCGTGCGTGCCGGGCGCTGGCGCACACGGGCTCCCCCGGGGTTCTCTGTCCGCATGCTCCTGGCTGTGCTTGGTGCTCAGTGGTCCTCTGCACTCTTCTCTGGGGTGAGGAAGTCCTGTTGCTCGTCCAAGGGTGCGAGTTGAGCCTGTGCGTGTCGGCTCGTTGGCCTGTGCACAGCTGCCAGCACGCAGTGAGCTGTCTGCATCGGCTCGCTCACCACGGCCTCCCAGTGCGAAGCACAGCTAAGCCTCACGAAGTAGGACGAGACCTGACCTTAGGAGACACCTCCGATCTGCCTGCAAGTCAGAGACAGCCTCAGTGGTCCCTGCGGGGCAGAAAGTACATTTTTTAAAAAAAAATTTAATTCAGAGTTTTGTTGCACTTGTAAACGTTTACACAGTACTTTTAACTTTAAGTAGTTCTGCAGTTATTTTATTTCTGTTACCATTAATGCCATTCATTTGATGGAACGGTGAATTCTCAGGATTGGTGGGAGTTAGGTGTCAGCATCCACACAGCATCTTGAGTTAGTAAAATCCTAGTTGAGTGGACGGCCTGTGAGCAGCTGAGCGACACCGTCTTGAACGCAGATCCGAGCGACGTCTTAGGTCCCAGCAGGTCGCAGCGACCAGGACGGCTCCGTCTCTGTCGTGCAGCTGCTGAGGAAAGGCGTCCACTTGTTGTGAAAGGGGCTCAGACAGCTGCAGTCCATAAGATGGAACACCTGACCCTAGAAGTAATTTTTGTTCCACGTGCCTTCCTCAGAAGAGCGTGGGCACAAGAAACAGTAGGTCCCCGGCAGAGGCAGGCGAGGATAGAGACCCACTGTTCAGGTTGTTGTGTCCAACAGCTTTTTTGCAGCCCCTCCACCTGGGCCCCACCTGGCCTGGCCCCTCCCACCCATCTGCTGGCCCCACCTGGCCTGGCCCCCCCCTACCCATCTGCTGGCCCCACCTGGCCTGGCCCCCCCACCCATCTGCTGGGTCCCCACCTGGCCTGGCCCCTCTCACCCATCTTCTGGGTCCCCACCTGGCCTGGCCCCTCCCACCCATCTGCTGGGTCCCCACCTGGCCTGGCCCCCCTACCCATCTGCTGTGTCCCCACCTGGCCTGGCCCCCCCCACCCATCTGCTGGGTCCCCACCTGGCCTGGACCCCACCCACCTGCTGGCCCCACCTGACCTGGCTCCTCCCACCCATCTGCTGGGTCCCCACCTGGCCTGGCCCCCCACCCACCTGCTGGCCCCACCTGGCCTGGCCCCCCCACCCATCTGCTGGCCCCACCTGGCCTGGCCCCCCCCCACCCATCTGCTGGCCCCACCTGGCCTGGCCCCCCCACCCATCTGCTGGCCCCACCTGGCCTGGCCCCCCACCCATTGGCTGGGTCCCCACCTGGCCTGGCCCCTCCCACCCATCTGCTGGGTCCCCACCTGGCCTGGCCCCTCCCACCCATCTGCTGGGTCCCCACCTGGCCTGGCCCCCCCACCCATCTGCTGTGTCCCCACCTGGCCTGGCCCCCCCACCCATCTGCTGGCCCCACTTGGCCTGGCCCCCCACCCATCTGCTGGCCCCACTTGGCCTGGCCCCCCACCCATCTGCTGGCCCCACCTGGCCTGGCCCCCCCACCCATCTGCTGGCCCCACCTGGCCTGGCCCCCCACCCATCTGCTGGCCCCACCTGGCCTGGCCCCCCCCACCCATCTGCTGGGTCCCCACCTGGCCTGGCCCCTCCCACCCATCTTCTGGGTCCCCACCTGGCCTGGCCCCTCCCACCCATCTGCTGGGTCCCCACCTGGCCTGGCCCCCCACCCACCTGCTGGCCCCACCTGACCTGGCTCCTCCCACCCATCTGCTGGGTCCCCACCTGGCCTGGCCCCCCACCCACCTGCTGGCCCCACCTGGCCTGGCCCCCCCCACCCATCTGCTGGCCCCACCTGGCCTGGCCCCCCCACCCATCTGCTGGCCCCACCTGGCCTGGCCCCCCCACCCATCTGCTGGCCCCACCTGGCCTGGCCCCCCACCCATCTGCTGGGTCCCCACCTGGCCTGGCCCCTCCCACCCATCTGCTGGGTCCCCACCTGGCCTGGCCCCTCCCACCCATCTGCTGGGTCCCCACCTGGCCTGGCCCCCCCACCCATCTGCTGTGTCCCCACCTGGCCTGGCCCCCCCACCCATCTGCTGGCCCCACTTGGCCTGGCCCCCCACCCATCTGCTGGCCCCACCTGGCCTGGCCCCCCCCACCCATCTGCTGGCCCCGCCTGGCCTGGCCCCCCCCACCCATCTGCTGGCCCCACCTGGCCTGGCCCCCCCACCCATCTGCTGGGTCCCCAGGGTGAGGACCAGAGCCAGCAGCTTCCTTTTCAATCTTGTCCTCACAAAGTACGAGGAAGAAAAGAGGATTCCCTTTGCTCTCAGAGTCGCGTGTCTGTGTTTCATCTGTGCTGGCTGCAGGCCAGGCTGTGGGGAGGGTGAGGACATGCACTCTGGTCATGCCCACCAGCCCGTGTAAGGAGGGACCTGGACCTCAGCCCCCAGCTGATGGTGGCAGAGGAGGCCAGGCAGGTCACTCCTGTGACCTGCTCCAGGGTGGGAGAGGGCTGTGGCCAGCCAGCAGCCTCAGCACAGCACAAAGCACATGGCCTTGACTTGAGTCCCTGGTGACGTGCTCTCTGCCCCAGTAGCTGCAGGTGGCAAGGAGCAGAACGCACCTTCAAGGTGACTGCGAAGGAGCCTGCTGCCTTGTGGGTGCAGGAGCATGACAGCAGCCCGCCCCGGGCACGGGCCTCCCTCATGTCCCCGCGGGAGGGCGTGTGGTGTACACGGCACCTCTGGGGTTCTGCCCGTGCGCTGCTATGGGAAGGGAGCCGCCCTGCTGCCAGTGCTCTGTCCAGAATGTTCTTTTTAACATTGATTTTGGAGAGAGGAAGGGAGAGAGAGAAAAACATCGATCGGCTGCCTCCCGCATGCACTCCGACTGGCAATTGAACCCACAACCTGGGTGTGTGCCCTGATCGGGAATCAAAACCGCCACACTTTGGTGTACAGGATAATGCCCCAACCCCCTGAGCCCCACCGGTCAGGGCCAGACTCCTTTCTGTAAGAATATCAGAGCTTCATTCAGAACGGTTCCCTTATCACACCTCCCGGCCTCTCCTTCCTTGGAGAAGCTCCACAGTGCGTAGCCTCCTGAATTGGAACGTCCGTCCCCGCCCCTTCTCCCCGTCCCTGGGTGGGCCGCCCTGCAGGCAGCACCTCCAGCGCCCTCTGCTCTCCCCGTGCAGGCGCCGTGGCCAGCACCGAGGTGAAGATGAAGCTGCAGGAGTTTGTCCTCAACAAGAAGAAGGCGCTGGCCCACCGGAGCCTGAACCACTGCCTGTCCAGTGACCCTCGCTACTGGTACGGGTGAGTGGGGTGTGGCGGGGCCCGACTCATGGTCCTGACAGATGGAGGGCACCTGCTCTTCCCCGGGAGAGGCAGGGCGGTGTGGACTCCGACACTCCCAAGGCAAGGAGCAAGTATGGCGTGAACCATGTGGTCTGGTGGTTGAGGCGCACGGCGGTCTCCAGAGGGCGTGGGCCTGTCTCTCTGTGGCCCAAGGGACACTGGGGCTGGGGCCTGCTCGTCATTCTCAGGTTCTTGTGGTCTTTTCAGACCATGCAAGGAGCTACTTGAGCTGGAACCCCACATGCACCTGGATTTCTTCCCCCGGTCTTGATTTTCCGGGAAGTCAGCCAGCCTCTGCGCAGTTCCATCGTTTTCACGCAGGAGCCCTCCCAGGTCCCGCGCAGCCACAGGCGCCCCAACGAGCCCGCTTGTGCCAGGAGTCGGGGAGTGTTCCGCAGGCGAAGGGCTCAGGGGGCCGGCTGTGGACGCAGGCAGCATTTGGAAGGGCGTGGCGAGCCTGTGGCTTTAAACACTGACCGAGGGTGCTTCCCAGATGTTTGCTCTACGTTTTGTTTTCTACTGCTCTCGGGGTAATGTCGTCGCGTGGAGGAGCCCGTAGGGTAGTTTCTGTAACTCAGATGTGGCCGTCATTCGTCTCACTGGGAGAAACTGCTGTCCTCAGGCCCCAGAGCGCTGAAACCCCAAGCCCTGTGAGGTGGCCTGCCTGCTTCCATCGATGCGTCCGTGGTCACAGTCACGGTGCAACCCAAAGGCGTCTGCCTCCAGGCCCTTTCTGCTCCCGAGGCCCCTGTGGCTGCTCATTGCTGGGACCCCGTCTGTGCTCACGCGTGGCTGCCCGTGGCGTCGTAGCTCGGCCAGGACAGGCACAGGGGCGGGAGGCCACGGGCCCATGGGAAGCGTGATGGAGCTCTGAGCCCAGAACCACCTGAGAGGGGCGACGCACCCCGAGACCCCACGTTCGGACCGGTCGGACCCGTGGTCTCCCCACTAGTCACAGTCACGGGAGTTGCCGTAGGAAAGACCATCGCTGGGGAGACGGGACTGCAGTGACACGCAGTTGGGGAGCGGCGGCGGCAGAGCCCCGGTGCGGAGCTGAGGGCAGCAGCAAGGGAAGTCTGGGGGCGGGGCAGGGACCAGGGAGCACAGCGGGGCCTGGACCCCGGACCTGTGAGGGCAGCAGCTGGAGGAGGCGGAGACAGCTGGCGGAGGAGAGTCCAGAGGGTGGGGAGCCCCAGAACCATCCGGAAGAGGAGCAGCGTGGGGTGAGCCCGGCAAGGCAGGCATGGTGGGAAGTGGGAGTCGTGTTGCTGGGTGGCAGCCACAGTGCCCTGGACGGGGTTCGGGCGACTCAGCATGGGGCTGGGAGACCAGGCAGGGGGAGTAGTGGCCACGGGGGTGGGCGCGTGCACCCTGCGGGCTGGAGGAGCGTGTCACCGCGGTCCTGGGTGCTGTGGCGAAGGAGGTGCCGCAGGTGCCGTGAGGGTCCAAGTGGGGTCCACACGGAATGGCTGGCAGTAAGGAAGGGGCCGGGGAGGACCCGGGCTCCCCACCTGAGGGCAGGGCCCTGAGATTGGAGCTGTCCGGGCTGCGCCCCAGAGGGTGCGTGTGAGTCTGATTCGGTGGAGATACTGACCCTCAGACCTTGAACGAGACTGGGAGACGGTCCCCGCCGAGGGGAGGCCTGCCGGGTCTCAGCACCACTGCAGGTGGGCAGGAGGGCTCTGTGCTTGAGGGGGGTGACCCGTGACAGGGGTGCAGCCAGCCCACGGATGCCTTCTCCCGCCCTAGCCATAGGTGGCCCGGGCCTGGGAGCACGCCCTGCCGGAGAGTGTCTCTGCAGTGTGCGGTGCGGCCGGCGGGGCGGGTGCTGGACGTCCTGGGGGCTGGCCGTGCTCTTTGAGCTGGTCTCCTGAGCAGCACCTTCTTTACACCCCTCTGCCTTCGGACACTGGGTTTTCCACCCGGAGGCACTGAGGAGCTCATGTTCTTAGTGCAGATCACACCAGGTGCACGGACAGGGAGCACTGTGTTCAAACAGTCTAACAGTCCAGTTAAGGTCTCACAGTCTGAACGCCGCAGGCGCTGACAGCCCCTCAGGACAGAGTGGCTGGTGGTGCGGCCAGCACCCTCCCCCGAGCCCCCCCCCCCCCGAGTCTCCTGGTGGTACCTGTCCGCTGGCTACTCTAGGTTCTGGGTCCCACCCGGCTGGCCCTAGGGAAGTGAACTTACAGCACAGCCCCAGGGGGCCCGGCCCCCCCACAGAAGGGCTGGTTCCAGGGGGTGCAGGTGGGGCTGCAGGTTCTCAGCTGGGGGAAGGGCCACACGGCTCCCACCCTCCAGGGCCCAGGTGTCCCCGAGGCTCCCCAACACACCTTTGGTTCCTCACCTGGAGCCGCCTGCTGCCTCTGGCCTGTCCCCTGGGACAAGCCCCAGTGCTGGTGTTGACCCTGGCGGCCAGAGCGCAGACCAGGGCAGCGCCACCTGACAGCAGCGGCCGGGCGGAGATCTCCACTCTGGGTCAGGCCCTGAGGCGTGGTTGCATGTGTCTGCCCTCGGTCTCGTTGGTTTTGATTTCCTTTCAGTCTTGCTCCAGAGAGGAGGCCGGTCTGCCCAGGAGGCCACCAGCTGAGCTGGGATGATGTATCAAAGGGCACCACGCACAGGACAGTGACTTGGGCTGCGCTTTGGCTGGTGCTAAGGGCCAGGCCGCACCGGGTCCCTGCCCGAGCTCATTCAGCCGTGTCTCCGTGTCATCCCCAGGAAGACGCAGCACAGCTCCCTGGACCAGAGCTCCCCACCCCAGAGTGGGGTGTCGGCCTCCTACAACCACCCAGTCCTGGGCATGTACGATGCCAAAGACGACTTCCCTCTCAGAAAAACAGGTCAGTGCCCAGGGCCTGCTGGTACAGGGGGGCAGGGGGGGGGCTCTGCGCCTGCACCTCCCCTCCCCAGGCCTACCAGGCCCTCGAGTACCTCCAGTGCGTGCTGCTTTGTGTCAGGGCGTTGCTTCCGACGGTGTCTGCACGTTCCCGCGTGGCTCAGCCCGGCAGTGACCCTCGTGCGTGTGCACCTGTTTCTGAAGCTCGCGACCCGTCTGTAAACGTGCAGACTTGCTCTTATTGAGGTCGGAGACTGTGCTTTGTCCCAGCCGAGTGCCTTCATCGAGCGTGGGCAGTGGGGGTGGCTGGCCCCGGAGTCGGAGGAAGCTCAGTGTCCTGCAGGGACAGTGAGGGGCTTCTCGGGACTGCACAGCCCCCAGTTGAAACGGAGAGGGAGGGCACTGGCAGGGCGGGCACAGTGGCGGTGGTTCCAGGGGCAGCGCGATGAAGGTGGGCGGCCTGGCGGAGCAGTGGGCGGTGCTGCACACCCTGCTCACCGGGAGGGGTCTGCGCAGCTGTGTCTCCATCAGCACAGACTTAGTCAGAGGATTCTGGTGGGTTCAGGAAGACACGCTTTGCAGCAGTCACACCCCAGAGCGCACCTGCCCCCCCACTCAGAAAGGGCCTCTCCATGGGCAGAGCGGTGCCCGAGAGGGCTCCGCACCAGGGGAGACCAGGATGCAGAGCCGGAAGTTACAGGGAGGGGGACTGCAGCTCCGCCCAGCAAGACAGGACAGGGGTGAGGGGGAGGGGCCACAGCAGGGCGGCCATGTCCCTGGTGCTAACTCCAGAGCCTTGCCGGGATACTGGGGGGAGGTAGAGCCCCTCCCAGTCAGAGGGGGAGCTCTGCAAATGTGTGTGAGCCCTTGACTGCTGCAGACGGACTGGGGCTTCTGTCCTTCCTCTTCACCTTGAGGGTGCGGTTCTCTCCTTCTCTGCCAAGAGTGGTCTTGAGTTTCCCCTAAAGAGAGCCCACCAACTGGACAGAAAAGTGTCTGGAGGCCCATCCTCCAGTTGCCCTCCACATTCCCTTAGGAGCACTAATTAAGCAAACAGACCCGCCAAGCCGGAGTCCATGGTGAGCAGTGGGCACTGGCTGGCAGGGAGACCCGGAAGGAGGCCCTGCCTCCTGTGCTGAGGGTGCTCGGCGCCCGGGACCTCGAGCAGGAGCTGATGCCGCAGTGGGTTCCCAAGACGTACCGGCAGTGCACTGGAGGGGTGCAGGCCACGTGAGGGATAGGGCAGTGAGGTGTCTGTCGTGTGCCGTCCCAGAGGCGCCTGCGTTCAGACACTCGCCGTCGCCACTGCTGAGTGACGTTTTGTTCCTGCCACGTCCGCACGTGGACCTCGAGCACGGATGTCTGGTCACTGCAGTGCGCCTTGGCTGGTTACACGGCCACCTTCGATAGGTGCGATGTGTGCTCAGTAGTCCTGGTTTTACTTTGAGTGGTTGTTACCTTGCACACAGTGTGTCCACCTGTCAGGCTGGAAGGGGCAATTCCAGCACGTGTGACATGTGACACACCGTCGGCTCACGCTCCGCACCTGTGCTCTGGCAGCCTCTGTGGGTGGCTCTCCCCGTTCTGTCTCGTGAGACACTCATCCCCGGCCAAGCCTCTGCATCCCCAGGGGAGCTGGCGTTCCCTCCTGCCCCTGCACCCAGCGGCCTCGTGAGGGGGGGGCTCTCGACCTCCTGTGCCCTCCGTCAGCGTGGCGACAGGCCTCTGCTTGTGCGTCCCTGAGATGTTGGGACCTTGACCCTCACCCCGACAGCAACTGTCTGGCCGACTTCGCACCCTCAGCCCTTCCCTCCATGCCATACGTCAGCCAGAAACCTGGGTAACACTGGACACCCCTCAGGAAGACCTCATGGGAGGAAACACCAGCACTTACACCAGCAGTCTGGCCTCGAGGTGTGCTTCACCCTGCTGGGGAGTAGGCTCGTCTTCTGGCCCTGCCCCCGTCCCTGGTGATTGACAGTGGAGTGGCCTCCACCTCCACCGGAATGCAAAGGGGTCATTTTCTGGGCAGTGGTACAGAGCAGGTGAGATGGCGCCCACCCCCTGGGTCTTCTGGGTGGTGCCTCAAGCTGCCCTGACCCTGGTTTCCGAGCCTCTTCAAGTGCAGCAGCGACAGAGGTCCCGAGAGGTCCCGGAGCGTTCGTGGACGAGCCTTCCCAGGGCTCATGGGTGGGGCAGCCACTGCCTTGGCCCGAGACCCCAGTGAAGCGCAGCGTTCAGTTCACAGTGGTTCTGGAGAGAGGGGCTCGTCCCCGTCAAAAGCAGCTGAGCTCCGTTGCAGCGATGGGACGCGGGCTGTGACTTTTGTCCAGAAGCACTTGGCCCTCCTATTTCTGAGGATGTCAGCTGCCGAGAGTTTTTGTAAAGACTCCAACTTGACTTCCCGTTGATGAGACAAGACCAGAGCCACAAGCAGTCGGCCGGCACCCCGCCACAACCCTCTCCCGCTGCGTCAGCACGGAGCCCCGCCCAGCTCCTGCCTGGCTCTGGGACACAGCAGTGCTCTCCCAGCAGGGCGCTGTCGCTGGTGTCGCAGGGTCGTCCCCAGGGCTGTGCGGAGCTTCTCCCCTGAGCCTGGTGCAGAACTGTTGCAGCGAGGGGGGCCGGCTGGGTGAGGACCCAGCTCCCGAGTCCCTGCACCGCGCTGGACCTGGCAGTGTGCCCAAGACGGCTCCCAGGGTCACTGCTGCTGCCTCCCTCCCGGGACCGCACCCAGCTCTGCACCTCGCCACAGGTGGCTTCGCAGTGCTCACGGGAGTGTCGGCCGACTGCTGTGCTGGGAAACCTGGCGGGCTTCCCTCCGTCACTGGGTGAAGCTGCCGTGCTGGGCAAGGAGGCACCCCCACGCAGCTGGCCCCATCCAGACCTGCTGAGCGCTGTGCCCGTCTCTAAAGCGGAGCACTGTGCTCTGGGAGGGCCTGCGCCTGCTCCGGCTGTCTACCCAGCCCGGCCCCATCCGGACCCACCGAGCGCCGTGCCCCTCTCTGAAGTGGAGCACTGTGCTCTGGGAGGGCCTGCGCCTGCTCCGGCTGTCTGCCCAGCCCGGCCCCATCCTGACCCACCGAGCGCCGTGCCCCTCTCTGAAGTGGAGCACTGTGCTCTGGGAGGGCCTGCGCCTGCTCCGGCTGTCTGCCCAGCCCGGCCCCATCCGGACCCACCGAGCGCCGTGCCCCTCTCTGAAGTGGAGCACTGTGCTCTGGGAGGGCCTGCGCCTGCTCCGGCTGTCTGCCCAGCCCGGAACTCTGCCCAGCACGGGAGCCCAGCAGAGCCTCGCGGTGCTCTCAGCTCCTCAGGCCCCACTGCTCCGGGAGAGCTGCCCGGGCCCAATGGAGTCAGGCCGGGGCCTAGAGGACGCACCACGAAGCATCACGGAGAGGACGTTTTTCTTTGAGAAACCACATGAGTAGAATGTGCTGGTCCTAAATTAACACAGGAAAGTACACACTGAGTCTCGCTTCTCAGAGACAGCGACTGCTAACCTTGTGGGGTCTGCTGGTGTCTGCGCCGGGTGTGTCTGTGTGTGTGATGTGTGTGTAGCTGTCTTTCGTTAACAGAAATGCCTACTTTGCATTTTGTCCTGTAACTTTACTTTTCAGTTAATGTTACACTGTCCGTCCCATTCTACATAGGTGTGTAAAGATCAGTACCTTTTTCTCTATTCTTCCCATATGTGGATGTGACTTAAAGTGTAACTTCTCTAGTTTTTATTTTCCAACAAACATGGTACCTTGGCTCCTGGGTGAGTGTCTGTGTAGACAGACCCCTGAAGACGGAGTCGGGCCGGAGCGCGTGTCCTGCAGTGCTCATGAGCGTGCCTGCCGAGCCGCACTGCCCCTGCTCACTGTGCTGAGCACGCCTCTCCCTCCTGGGGCAGAGGGAGGGGGGCCTTGGCTGCAGCCCCGCCCCTCCCAGCAGGAGAAGCACCCACCTGGTGGCCCACTGCTCAGCTGGAACGAGGCTAGTGTTTAATTTGGGCCTTGTTTGCGTTGTGCATGGGGTCCGCAGGTCAGGTGGGGCTGGTGCAGGGAGCAGGGTGAGGCCTGTGTGGGGGCCCCTGCGGCCGAGCTCTGCCATGGGCACTGGAACCAGGCGGGCTGGACAGAGCCTTCCGGTCTTGCCGCTTCGTGGTCAAGTGCTGGGGAATGGGAGGGAGCGCAGGAAGGAGAGGGACGAGCCACGGCGTCTCAGCAGTGGGCCACTGCTGTGCAGAAAGAGAGCAGTGTGGGCGGTAGGGGGGTCGCTGCCGAGAGGGACCCTCCACGGGTCAGGGGCTGACACTCCTTCCAGGGGGCTGCACGCCCTGGGCTTGGAGAAGCAGTGTCTCCTCCAGCTCTGTCCAGGTCAGACGGACGCTGTTGAAGCCTGTCCTGTCTCGGCCGAGAGCTTGCTGCGGGAGCAGAACTCATTTCCTTGCCTGTGATCAGGTGGGGTCTGCTGCTTTGCCTCCAAGTACCGCTGAGGGCTCCGTGTGAGAGCAGAAGGGACTGGGACATGCATCTGCGGCACCTCAGGATGAGCAGCAGGCAGGAGGGGGTGCTGTCACCCTGGAGGCATCCCATTGCTCGCCTTGGAAGGTCCCGCCATGAGCTGCAGGGTGGGGGCCTCTCCCGAGACCCGCCCGCTGAGCAGCAGGAAAAGCCTGGCCTCCTGAGCTCGTCTGAGTTCTCTGGAAGCTTCACTCAGGGCCCTGCTCCTCCCTGCTCCTGCCTGCAGCCTCCTCCGGGTCCCCTGCCACCCAGGACTTGTCCCCCCGTGCTTCCCAAAGCACAGCACAGCAGCCCTCAGTGAGGTGCACCGAGGCCGGAGTCCTGCGCGCCTGGCTCCAGGGAAAACAGAGAGTGCACTTCCTGCTCCTGAGAGGGGTGAACGTCCTGTCCCAGAAACACTGAGAACAGCAGGGTTGCTCATTGAAAACAAACAAACAAACAGGTATAAACACGCTTGTTTGCAAATCTACAAGTAGTTGGAGCTCGGACATGAAGTAAAGCCTCGCACCTAAGGGCCCGCCACAGCGGTTTTTCCCGGTCCTGGCTCCGTGCTGATGGCCCTGGAGTTGCAGGCACCTGTGTCTGGAGCCCAGGTGGAGGGTGCCCTGGCTTCCCACAGAGGTGACTTGGTTGGTGTGGGCTTGGTCTGGGCTCTAGGTGCAGAAGACTTAGGAACCACCGTGGGCTGAGTCCCAGGTTTGCAAATGGCTCCATCCAAACCAAGCCAAAACACCTGTGCCCGTGTTCAGGCAAACTCAGGTGTTGAGACCTGGCTTGGCTATTGCTCCTCACGGTGGGGCTGGTGTTAGTGCCTTCGCCTCGGCAGCTTGCTTCTGGGGTTCAGACACGTAGCAGGTGAGCAGGAAGGTGTGGGAGGTCATAATGTCCAGGGGCCAACACCCCGAGAAGCAGGGTCATCAGTTTTCCTCCGGCCTGCTGGTGAAGCAGTGTCCGTCGTTCCTGGTGACACCGCCAGCCCAGATCTATAACCTCCGTGCAGAGCCGTGCAGCCAAGGCATCCTCTGTGCTGTGCCCTGTCTGATGAGCACGAAACTTCTCCAGGCCTCAGGGCAGCGCCTGCACCCAGCCCCGGAGCAACAGCCAGTGTTGGCACATACTTCCCAGCGTGTGCTCAAAGCCACCACGAGATGGCCTGACCCCGGCCGTGTCTGCTGGGCCGTAACGACATCTCCTTTTCACGCAGCTTCGGAACCCAACCTGAAATTACGGTCCCGGCTAAAGCAGAAAGTGGCTGAGAGACGGAGCAGCCCCCTGTTGCGCAGGAAAGATGGGCCCGTCGTCGCTGCTCTGAAAAAGCGTCCCTTGGATGTCACAGGTATGTTGGAGGAGATTCTAAACCCCTCTGCCCACCAGTCTACCTGCCACCTCCTGTGCACGAGGCTCTTCCTTTAGCATCTCCGAGGCTGAAGCCCACCCTGCACAGCCGCTCGGCCTTGGGTGCTCATTCCCATGTGCCAGCAGTGCCCTCGAGGAACACTGTCCCTGCGCAGCTTGTCCTCGCTCCGGCTTCGTCAGCAGGCCCAGCACGCACAGCGAGGCTGACGGGACAGGAGCGTCTGCAGGAATTCAGGTTCAGGTTGCTGTGAAGGCAGGGTTTTAGTCAACCCTGCCTGTCGGTGGGGAGTCATGTGGCCGAGCCTGCTCCAGTGACCCTGCTAGAGCAGCCAAGTCTTCCTGTAGGGGACTGGCAGGTAGGCCCAGAAGGACTTCCTCCTAGTGAGCATGTTGCTCTTGGCCCCCACCTGGTGGTGAACATGCAGAATACTCCCACAATACACCCACTGGGCAGGGCCCCTTCCCAAGGGTGCAGCCCCTTCCCAAGGATGTACCCCATGTCCCCAGGTACACCCCAGTTCTCAGGAGCACCCCCTCCCAAGGGTGCATCTGCTACCTAAGATGTACCCCACCTCAAGGCGTACCCCTACCCTGAGAGCATACCCCACTTCTGGGGGCGCACCTTGTCATGAGGGCGCATGTCCATGTTCCTGGGAGCACAGGACAAAGGGATTGGTCAGAGGCAGCTGGGAAACATTTGCACCAAGTACAGTGTTTGGTCTGAAAACCAAGGCGCGCTCGGGAGGAGGAGGCACCTCTGGCCCTGGGCCTCCCTGTGTGAGCAGCCAGACCTCACCCAGACCTCACCCTCTGAGTCCAAGCACTGCGGGTGAGCTGTGTGCCCAGTGCCCTGCCCGCCACGCTGGGCTCCTCAGGAAGCCCCAGCCCGGGCCTGCCTCTGTGCACCGATCAGTGGCAGTCCCCTGGGTCTGTCGTGTTCCTTTTCGCCGGCTTTGTCCTTTGGTTGGTCTGGTGCACAGAGGTGAAGACTGTTGTCGGAAGGCCCTCTGGCCTCCCCAGCCGGGGTTCTCGCGCGGATCCGGGCACCCCGTGCGTTAAAGCGCTGGTCCGCCTGCAGTCGCAGCCTGGTGTCCTCGGGCAGCGCCTGCCCGTGCTTTGTCTCTGGCCACGCTGCTGGTGAGACGGGACTGTCCCAGGCTGCTCTCTGAGTGAGCATGTGCCGTCAGCCACAGCTGCCGGTGCTCCCGAGGCAGGACCTGTCTGGGCACAAAGACAACACAGGTCCTCGCTGGCCAGGAACTTCCGTCTAATTCAAGAGACCAGACTGTCACCCATGAGACAAGCGGCAGACTGGGGCACAGCACCCGAAGGACCCTGAGAGCGTTCCCTGGCGAGTGCGCCCCGAGGAACCCAGGCCGGGAGGGGCAGGAGCTGCGAGGGCCAGGCAGAGCTGGGGGGCAGGCGCAGCGCCACGGAGACGCGAGCGGGTGTCCTGGGCGCACAGGCCCAGGGGCTGGAGGAGAGCCGAGCAGAGCTCTTCCCAGCAGACAGGGCTGGCGGTGGCCGTGGTCAGGGCCTGGGGCAGAGGAAGAAGACCCCGCGCTCAGGGTCCGTGCCTGGAACTGCGAAGGCCACCGGCACAGAGCACCCTCCTGTCCCACGAGCCCTGTCCCCACGAGCCCTGTCCCCACGAGCCCTGTCCCCACGAGCAAGGGGCAGCCGCTGTGCCTCCACGGCTACTCGGTCAGCCCTGGTGTCCCCACGAGCCCTGTCCCCACGAGCCCTGTCCCCACGGGCCCTGTCCCCACGAGCCCTGTCCCCACGGGCCCTGTCCCCACGAGCCCTGTCCCCACGGGCCCTGTCCCCACGGGCCCTGTCCCCACGGGCCCTGTCCCCACGAGCAAGGGGCAGCCGCTGTGCCTCCATGGCTACTCGGTCAGTCCTGGTGTCCCCACGAGCCCTGTCCCCACGAGCCCTGTCCCCACGGGCCCTGTCCCCACGAGCCCTGTCCCCACGAGCAAGGGGCAGCCGCTGTGCCTCCACGGCTACTCAGTCAGCCCTGGTGTCCCCACGAGCCCTGTCCCCACGAGCCCTGTCCCCACGAGCAAGGGGCAGCCGCTGTGCCTCCACGGCTACTCGGTCAGCCCTGGTGTCCCCACGAGCCCTGTCCCCACGAGCCCTGTCCCCACGAGCCCTGTCCCCACGAGCAAGGGGCAGCCGCTGTGCCTCCACGGCTACTCGGTCAGCCCTGGTGTCTCCACGGGCACTGGCTGGTCAGAAGCCTTGAGCTCTGCTTTCCCTGGACATGGACGCTGTGCAGGAAGGATGAGAGGGTGTGGTCAGAGTGGTCACTGACGTGGGTGCGTCCCTGGTGACCACAGCGCCCTTTCTCTGCTCTCAGTGACTGCTTTGTTTCCTGGCTGGCTTTTTAAAAAATTATGTTATTACTGATTTTTTTTAAGACAGAGAGGAAGGGAGAGGGAGATAGAAACATTGATGTGAGAAACATCTATTGGCTGCCTCCTGCACGCCCCCTATTGGGGATCGAGCCCGCTTCCCGGGCCTGTGCCCTGACCAGGGATCAAACCGGGACCTCTCCGTCCATGGGCGACCTTCAGTCCACTGAGCCACACTGGCCGGGCTTTCGTAACCCTTGTTGTCAGAATATTAGTGTCCAAGGGCTTGCCTTTCTGGTGTTTAAGATCATCTTAAAATTCAAAGGAGAAAAAAGTTGATAATGTGCACAGCTCAAAAGTCTTCCGTGCGGTGTCCACAGAACTGAAAATGGCAAGTGGGGTGCACAGTGCCATGTTCTGTCCTGCCGGGCTTTCTGTTCCTCTACAAGTGGGTGAGCCGAAGCCCCGCAGCCCAGGCCCCAGCCGGCAGGCGTGCCCGTGGCCGTCCCGGGCCTGCACTGCGTGGCTGACAGCACCTGTTCTCCGCCCAGACTCGGCCTGCAGCAGCGCCCCCGGCTCCGCGCCCAGCTCGCCCAACAACAGCTCCGGGAGCGTCAGCACGGAGAACGGGATTGCGCCCGCGGTCCCCAGCATCCCGGCCGAGGTCAGTGCCCCCTTCCTGTTTCTTTCCTGCCGTCCAGAGGTGGCACTGGGGAGCTGACTTGCTCGTGGTGACGGCAGCTCACACTGCTTTCGGTTATGACCGTCCAGGTCGTGGCGAGGGGAGCTGAGGGGCGAGCAGCCTGCACAGCACTCGTGTGACCTTCCTGTCCACCTGCTGCCGTCGGGCCACCTCCTCCCAGCGTGGACACGGGTGTTCCCCGTGGGAGGGCATGGTCAGGGGCGTCAGGTCCATCCTCACGCAACGGCACACTGATGTGCCAGCCACCACTCCCGTGCAGCATGGGCTCTGCGTGGCGCTGGGTGCAGGAGCACACTGGAGTTCCTGCTGAGGATTGACATATCTGTTGTGTATTGACAAATGCACAACTTAAAATGTCAGCCCACAGGCCACATGTCCCTGTCTCAGGGAACACTGGAGCCACGCTGGCAGGTGGTCCAGGTGTCAGCTGGCCTCACGTGGGGTGCAGAGAGGGTTCTGGGACCACGGGGAGGGCACATCAGATGCAGGGGTGGCAGAGAGGAGAGGTCTCCTGGAGAAGAGGTGGACGATTTCTTCAGCTAGGTGGTGGGCCGCAGGGCCAGCTGTCGGCCCTGCCCTGCCCTTGACCAGACCTGAGTCAGAGTGACTTTCCTGGCAGTAGGCGCCAGGACCTCCACCCATACTGGCTGGGAGAGGGACTCCAGTGGACCAGTTTTGGGGAAGGCAGAGAACTCTGCTGAGTGGGATGTGGGCTGGGAGCTCGTGAGAACTGCGTCAGCACCGAGTGTCCAGTGAACTGGGCAGAGCTACCGTCCGCTCCACACCCAGACAGCTCTGCCGCGGGAGGTCTGTGCGCTCTCTGCCCACAGGAGGCGGCCCTTGTTGCAGACAGCATCTCACTCTCCTCCTCAGGTGCTCAGCAGTGAGCCTGCCCTCCAGAGGGCTGGCCGGTTCCCAGACACTTGGTGCATGAGCAGGGTTTTGGAAACTAAGATGACTGCTTAGTCTGCCTGACCCCACCTCCTCCGAATTCTTTCTTCTTCTGCAGCTCTTTCCGTTACGACCTTTCCTTTTCAACTTGCCTGTGCACCTGCGTGTCCTGGGTAGAGGAGGTCGCAGTGCAGGGTTATCTGAAATTGCTTAGAGGTCAGCCTAGAAGTTGCTTGCAGGAGGAGGCGGCAGGATCACCACGTGTGGGCAGTATCAGTCCTGGGTCCTGACCGTTACTTAAAGTGGGCAGGTGTGTGCCTCATGCTTCATGTTGTCAGGGCCTCTTATTTGGATGGGTCTACACAGTTCCCACTTAACTTTTGTGTTAATTTTTCCAAGTCACGTGTTAATATAAATTTACTGCAAATTAATACGAGATGTGAGGGGGTTCTCAAAAAACGTGAGGACAGCTCATGCTCTGCCTTGGATCCTCACTGTGATCAGCAGGGTAGTCCTGGAAAATGGAATGGTACGTGGGTGTCCTGTTTGGGGTCGGACGGCTCCCTGAGAACCTCCTGCTTAGCAGTCCCCAGAAGGTGGGGGTCCTTGTGTGGGAGGGAGGCAGGGAGGCGCGGAGCTCAGCAGACAGCAGCTCCACCCAGTTCAGAAGGCTGGGTATGATTGGGGTGCGCCTGTAACGGGCCAGGCAAGCCAGTGATGGGGGCCGCTTGTGACAGGGGAGTGCCTGAGATGAGCATGACTGTGACATGACTTGCCTGGGATGGAGGGGGGCGTGTCTGGTGGGGGCGTGTCCGAGATGGGGCGTGCCTGCGGTGGGGGCGTGCCTGTGACAGGACTTGCCTGGGATGGAGGGGGGCGTGTCTGGTGGGGGCGTGTCTGAGATGGGGCGTGCCTGCGGTGGGGGCGTGTCTGGCAGGGGTGTGTCCTGCCTGGGATAGAGGGGGGCGTGTCTGGTGGGGGCATGTCCGAGATGGGGCGTGCCTGCGATGGGGGCGTGTCTGAGATGGGGTGTGCTTGCGGTGGGGGCGTGCCTGTGACAGGACTTGCCTGGGATGGAGGGGGGCGTGTCTGGTGGGGGTGTGTCCGAGATGGGGCGTGCCTGCAAAGAGGGCGTGTCTGAGATGGGGTGTGCCTGCGGTGGGGGCGTGCCTGTGACAGGACAGCCTGGGATGGAGGGGGCGTGTCTGGCGGGGTGCATCAGGCTCTCTGACCCAGCCCTGGACTTGACACAGAACTGGGAAGCTGGTGGAGACACTGAAGACTCAGGGCAAATCCACCTACCAGATATTTCTCAGGGCAGCTTTGTTTCTAAAAATAACCTAGGTTAAAGAAAAAGTAGCCCTGTTTATAAAGAGGAAGTTACCACCTTGGGAGCAGTAGACGTCTGTTCGCTCCGTTCCTGGAGAAGTGGTCCAGCGGCCGTGGTTTCCTTGGCAATCCCAGTCTGCTCCCCGGAGCGTAGCTTGTTGGCCTTCCCTGCACCTGACCACGTGTGTGGGGGAGCCTGTCGCAGTCGCCCTCCCATCGTCCCTGCACCTGACCTCGTGTGTGGGGGAGCCTGTCGCAGTCGCCCTCCCATCGTCCCTGCACCACTTGCTACGCGAGTGACTGCTCGGCTGCAGCCAGTCTTGGGGCTGCGCTGAGTCCTTCCCCTGAGGGCCGCCCTCCTGCTCCTCCTTTGGCAGAGCGACACAGAATGTGAGGGGTGTGTGTTTCCCGATGCCGCCGAAATGCGAGACCATCAGCATAGCCACCTGGGGAGTCTGCAGGGCAGGAACGGCCACTCATGGGCCCTGCGAGTCGGCCCTTGTCCCCGAAGGACGACGGGGCTGCAGTCACCACTGTCTGCAGTAGCATCACAGCTTTCAGCCCAGAGGGATCCCCGGGAAATGGGAGGGTTCTCACCCTTGCTGCCGCAGCAGCCACTTGAGAAGGATGCAAGGAGGGCGGGACGCTCACCCCTCCTGCTGCTTCCGTCCTGCCAACTCTGCCACCTTCCCTCCCGCCCCGTGGCCGTCACCTCCCACTGCTCCCGGCTCAGCGACGTTTGCTGAGAGTGCTGTGCAGGGGTGTGCTGCTTAATATAGAGCCTTTTTTTTTTTTTTTTTTTATCAAAGTATATGTATTCTAGAAGCAAAAATAGATGTTAAATGTCTTAGTGCTCACTCCTGGGAGACGCTGCCCGCTCACCCTCCCTGTGCCTTCTCGCTCTCGCTCTCGCCACGCACTTGGCAGTGTCTGCTGCCGAGATGTGCGGGGTCTGCAGCTCCTTCTGACTAACGGCTCCCACGAACATGACTCCGGGGCCCACACAGGAGCCTCTGCTTGTAACTGTGCTCGATTCGCAGCTCTTTGTGTGTCGTCCTCTGTCTGTCCTGCATCGGCCAGCGCTGTGGGCGCCATTCTTTGCCTTTAATGTGAGATTTTTTTTTTCCATCTATATTTCAGTCCTTGGTTTCTGCCTCTGAGGTTATGTTTGGAAAGACCTTCCCAGCTCTTGTTTTCTGTCGTCCCTCCCCTTGGTGTGGTTGCCCACACCTGGAGGGAGCAGACTGTGATGGCCGTCCTGTGCTCTGTCCCCAGACCAGCTTGGCACACAGACTGGTGACTCGAGAAGGCTCCGTGGCCCCACTCCCCCTCTACACGTCACCATCCTTGCCCAACATCACTCTGGGACTTCCTGCCACCGGCCCTTCCGCTGTAAGTAGGTTCCGAGGGTCTGCATAGCGTGGGGCGGCCGTCACGGGCACGCAGCCTGGACATCGACGTTATGCCTCCCCAGGGGGCAGCAGGCCAGCAGGAAGCCGAGCGACTGGCTCTCCCAGCCCTTCAGCAGCGGCTGTCCCTCTTCCCCGGCACCCACCTCACACCCTACCTGAGCACGGCGCCCCTGGAGCGGGACGGCGGGGCGGCCCACAGCCCTCTCCTGCAGCACATGGTCTTACTGGAGCAGCAGCCCGCGCAGACGGCCCTCGTCACAGGTGAGCGCTGAGTGCAGCCTCGGGCCTTGCCAGCTCCTGGGGCCCGGCCAGAGGCCTGTCCAGCCTGTTCCCTTGCTGCCCACGTCTGAGCACGTGACGTGGCGCACCATGTTGCCCTCGCAGAGCCGGGTGGACGACATGTGGGTCTCGGGTCCTGCCCTCTCGAGAGGAGGCTGAGCACGTGACGGGAGCACAGCCCCGAGCCGGGAGCACAGCCCCGAGCCGGGAGCACAGCCCCGAGCCGGGAGCAGTAAATGGCGCGGACAGTGCCGGCTGAGGGACAGCTGCACCCAGAGCAGTGGGGCTGGCGCAGGGTCAGCGAGAGCGCTGGGGTGCGCGGGCTGTGGTCGCCCATCCTCGTCTGGGCACTGTCCCCGGCTCCATGTCGCTTCTGGCACCTCTCTGCTCAGAAGTCACCTCAATGCCACACCTCCAGAGTCTGACCTCGGGGAGCGCAGGAGCCACAGGCGGCAGAGCCCGAGCCGGGCACCTGTGGGTCTGGCGGGCACTGGGTGTGTCTCCCTGTTCTGTGCTCGTTTGTCCCTCTTGAGCACTCGGTCGAAACCCCTCCAGTCACACGTGGGTACAGCGAGTGTCCCACGGCTGCCGGTGCGGAGCAGTGCACCGGTCTCTCTGTGCACAGAGCTCTGGGCGGCTGGCGGGGGTAACGCCCAGCTCTCGGCTGGACACCACCCGCCTAGGGCCCCAGAGCTCCAAGGCTCCAGGTGTCTAGGCTATTTCCTGCCGAGTGGCCCTCAGGGTAGTGCTGGAAGCCCTGTCCTGAGTCCCGTCCTACGACCACGTGCTGGGCCCGCACCCACTGCGGCTCCCTGTCAGCCTCTGTGGCACGGCCTTTGTCTGTGGGACCTTCCTCCTGGAGCCCAGACCTGCGTTTTCCCACAGCTCTGCCGTCCCCGCCCCCGGCTCCCACAGTGTGGGATGCATTGAGCAGGGGTGCAGTAAATGTTCTCTGTGATTGAACCCCTGAGAGTCACCATTTCTGAGGTGACTATATCTGAGCCAGACCCAGGAAGAGTGACCGCAGGTTCCCTTGGTCAGTTCATCTACATTTCTCCGAGTGGTCGGTCCACAGATAAACTTTGTTGCTGATAATCTCAGTGGACAGACGGACGCTGACCGACTGGCCAGCTCTGTCCACATTGCTCTGGAAACAGGCTCCTGTGGGCGGAGCAGCTGGCTGGGTCGTGCGAACAGGTGCGGGCTTCAGTGCTGTGCCCCCCCCCGAGGGCCCTGAGGTGTCAGCCCCCGTGTGGCCGCCCGTCCCCGATCATCATCCCCCTGTGAGGCAGCCGCACGCAGTGCCACCGTCACAGGAAGAGCAGAGTCCCAGCTTCCCCAGCCGAGCCCAGCAGCCAGCCAGGGCAGCGCAGGAGAGTGGGCACTCCCGGCGAGAAGGAGACTGTTTGCAGGGCCCTGGGTTGTTTCGGCAGCTCCACACGGAACCATGGGCTCTGCGTGGCCTGGCTACCCAGCCAAGCACAGTGCCAGTGTGGCCAGCGAGTAGAACCTTCAGACCAGTGTCTCCTATGGTCCAGGCCCCAAGAGATGGGCCCCACGCTTGGTAGCTGGGCGTGTGCAGGAGTCTGGGCGCTGGGGCGGGTGAGCTTCAGGGAATGCTTCTTGGACAAGAGGCCTAAGGTGGGACTCAGCAGGTGGCTAGGTGGGAAGAAGGCTACGGAGAGGAGCAGGTGCAGGTGCCTAGCGAGTCAGTCTAGCCAAGAGCTGGTATGCTCAATTCATTTGCCGTTTCTCTGGGCCGGATGCCCTTCACCAGGGGCCTAAGTGATGTTTACTGTTTGTTTGGCTCGAGTTGTCAGGGGAACATACCCAGGTAGCAGGGGAAGGGGTTTGTTGGACCCTTTTGCTCACAGAATCTTGGAAAGTGGTCAGTGACCTAAACAACAGTCTACAAACAAAAAGTCGGATGAAGAGCCTAGAAGGAAAAATGTCAGACTTCCTGGGTTCGTGGGGAGAGGTTGCAGTTTCAGCCGAGATTCGGATGCAGATGAAGCCAGAGCCTCCTGGCAGTGCAGACTCAAGTCTGGCACTCAGCCGGTGTAGGTGTGGGGCAGCGCCGGCCTGTGCGGCCAGCGGGCTTGGAAGTTGGCAAAGCCTTTTAGAAAGTTGTGGAAAGAGATTTTGATCGTGTCCATCAGGATGTTAAGTGGTGATGCCCTCTGAGCATGAGTCAGCGCTTCAGGAGGCCCTAAAGAGCTTGCCCACTGAGGCCAGCTCATGTCTCACGTTGGGTTCCCGTGACCGTCCAGGGAGAGCCCCCACGCCTTCCCCAGGTCGCGTGTGCCATGCTCCCTGCCCGCAGTGCTGTCGGATCAAAGCCCGTGACGGCCTGGGCCCCTCGGAGGGCGATCATGCGGGACGCACTGTTCCAAGGCCTGTCACGTGCAGTGCCTGTGGATGGCTTTGACCTGGGTGTCAGAGACAGCACCCTCCCAGTGACAGCTCAGGGCGCTCCCTGTGTGCCTGGGGCCACCCCCTGCTGGGTTCTAGGGAGGGGCACCTGGGCTGGCAGCTGCAGCTCAAGGCGGCTCCTCAGTCACTCAACAGCCTTCTCCCCTCTCCTCTTCCTCTTCTCCTCTGCTGCTCCCTCCGTGTTATCTTCAGACTGGTATCTTTCAGGCCTGGGCGCACTGCCCCTGCACACACAGCCTCTGGTCGGCGCGGACCGGGTGCCCCCGTCCATCCACAAGCTGCGGCAGCACCGCCCGCTGGGGCGCACGCAGTCGGCCCCGCTGCCCCAGAACGCCCAGGCCCTGCAGCACCTGGTTGTCCAGCAGCAGCACCAGCAGTTTCTGGAGAAACACAAGCAGCAGTTCCAGCAGCAGCTGCACATGAACAAGGTGGGTCTGCGCCCGGCCTCCGCGGCCTCGCGCCCGTTAGCGTCCCCTGCGGCCTCGCCGTCCGGAGCCCTCCTTCCTGACCTCGCGAGGCCAGCAGCCAGAGAGAAGCCGCGGGTCTCAGGCTTCCCCGCCGCGGCAGGGGCTGTGTGGAGCTGGCCCGTGGAGCGGCCCGTCCTCCTGGGGATGCCCGGCGTTGGCACGGCCAGTGCCTGAGTCCCTGGTCAGTGTTAGGCATGTGACACGTGTGTATCACTGCAGTCAGTTCACTCCGTCAACACGTGTTTCTTAAGCGTACCCATTGTCTCTACACAAACTCAAACAGAAAGCCCCCAACTTACGGTGCCCGACGCTCCCAGAAGCACCCAGAAGCACCTTTCCAGATGACTTGGCACATGCAGTGTGCTTGCCTGGTGCAATAACATCGCCCGAGTGTCGCCCAGGCCAGCCCACAGAGGTCCTCGCTCCCGGAATCCCCAGTCTCTGCAGGGCCGCCCCAGCAGGAAGTGGTAGGAAAGGCTGTGCTCGTGGGTGAAGCAGGAAGAGTGATCTCGAGTCACTTTCCCAAGTGCTGACGTCTGCAGTAGCGTCTTCAGTGTCAGAGAACGAGGCGAGCCCGTGGGACACGGTCCCGATCTCCCAGGGCCAGCACAGAGTCGCTGTGACTAGCAGGCCCCTGCTAGGCCTGTGCCCAGGAGAGCTGACCACGGGACACACGGGGGCCCGCACACGGCGGTGGGACGGCGGGTGACGGTCGAACAGAAGAGCACAGCCGGGCCTTGCACGTCAGCTCGAGCTGCGGAGCGGAGCCTGGTGCTCGCTCGAGACACATGCCGAGTGAGACCAGCCTGGCAGCAGTGCTGTCTCGTGGGGTTCCGGGTGCGATCCCACCCAGGCAGGTAGACTGGTGGGCGCCAGGGCCGGGGAGGACGTTCTGAGTTGGAGGCAGTGGCGCGTAGCTGTCGGCGGCCGGTGGCCACAGTGTGAAGTGAGCTCTGGGGCGGGAGGGACGCGTCTGGGAAGCTGTTAGAAGGAAGGGATGAGGCGCCAGAGGTCGCCTTGGAGACTTCTGAGGAGAACGCTGGGGACTTGGGCAGGTTGAGGAGTGGCAGACTTGAACCCGGTCACGTCCCCTCCTTCGGGGAGACTGTCATCAGTCCACTTGTCACACAGGGTGAGGCTCTTGTCTCCGCTCCCTGAGGAGTGGGGGGGGACCAGGATGAGACTGGAAGGGTCCGCACGGCTGCGAGGGGGGAGGTGAAGGGAGCCCGCCCTGCCCTGCGCCCGCCAGCCTCCGTCCCGGCCGTCAGGAGCGGGTCAGGAGGCTCGTCTCAAGAGGAGCGTCTCCCACGCCACTGCCTGTGTCGGCGTGGCCTTGGCCACTCGTGAGGCCCTTCGTGGCGCCTTGCCCGCTGTCCGCAGCACCCACGTCTCCCTCTGCGTCCTGTCTGCTTCCCCGCTGGCGTGCCAGCCCCTGCGGAGGGACGGTGCGCTCCCTGCGGGCCCAGCTGCCTGGCACGGTGCCGGGTGCTGGCGCGGTTTGTCAAGAGTTGCTGTTGACATGCCAGCTTGTCCTGGGGCTGCTCCCCAAAGGGCCCACAGCGGGGATGACAGCCACGCTGCCTTAGTCACCCAGTGTGCCCTGTGGCAGGGCCATGGGCATTTGCTCCTGATGGCCAGCTGCCCAGGGCAGCCAAGCTCAGACCCCTCTGCCCGCTGGGCACTGGGAAATGGGCTCCGCCCCACCCCCAGAGCCCTGGCCCCGGGCCCTCCCACCAGGCCGCACAGAGCCCGCCCTGACTGGAGGAGAGGACTGCTCCTGGGGAACTGGGCTTCCCTCGTCCAGCCAGCTGCTTTGCTATGTCGTCACCTGAGAGGCCGGGTAGGGGCTCTGAAGGCAGGAAACAACTGTTCTCAGGTGTGTCATTGAACAGAGCCATCCGGAAGCTGGGTCCCCTCCTGTGTTCTGCTACGTGACTGACATGTTCATGCTCCGTTTCCCGGCACTTGGGAGCCGAGATCTTCTCGTGCCCAGTGCCGTCTGGCGTCGAGTCTCTGCCCTTTGTCTTGGACTGGGCTGCTCCTGGGGCTCATTGCCCAATGGCACTGGAGCCCAGGTCCTGGCAGGGTCCCCGCACCACGCCTGTAGGTGGGGGGGGTGGCCTTGCTTGCATGGTCTGCTGTCACTCATCCCCAGGGCAGCGGTGTCAACAGTGTCACCCTTGGAGAGACGGCAGCAGCCGATGCGACCACTGTCGTTTCCCCGAGGTCCACAGCAAGGGAACGACCATCGGCTGAGAACACCCGCCAGGCAGGGCAGCCGGACCCAGGAGGAGCCGGTTTCCCGGGGCCATCACCGCGCTCTGGATCGGTGTCAGCCACCCTGTGGCCCTGGCCTTGGCAGTGTCAGCTCAGGAAAGGCTCGCGCAGGGCCGGTCTGGAGAGCGCTGCCGTGCGAGGGGATGGCTGGCCTCGGGCGAGGGCTGTCGGGCAGTGTGCGGGGCAGTGTGCGGGGCAGAGGGGACGCGCAGGCCCTGAGGGCGGGAGGCGGCGCTGCGGCAGCCCCGTGGAGCTGGCTGAGCTGCGCAGAGCTGAGCCCTGTGGAGCTGGGCTGGAAGCACTTCCCTCGCACCCGACCTCCCCAGGTCTGAGCACGGAGATTGGGGCTCTGCTGCTCGTGTGGTCTGATCACCAGCATGGCCGACACCATGAGACGTAGCTGCTTCCGGGGCTCTGCCCTGAGCTGCAGTCCGGCTTCAGAGAATTGTTGGCGCGCGGGGTCCTGAGCCCAGAGGCCACGAGGAGACAGCGTGCTTCGCCAGCGTCTCCACCAGTATGTTGCCTGACATGTTCCTCCCACTGCGGGCTCTGCCATGTGGCCAGTGGGAAGCAGAGTAGCGTGTCATCGACAGGGAGGGACAGACCTGGCCCAAGGAGCGGCTGCACAAGCACCCATGTCACCGCTGAGCCAGCCCTGGCAGCTGTGACACTCCTGCACCCGTGAGGCTGCTGGCGCAGGCCACCTGCAGCTACGCTGGTGACCCTCCCGGGCACCCTCTGTCCTGAGGCCACACTCGGGAGCCTCTGTTTGAGCTCTAAGGAGCTGGCGGCAGCTCAGGTGTCCCTGCCCAGAACCCCTCAGGACACGGGGTCTCAGTGTTCTGGGCCTTCTGACTTCTGAGCCTCTGCCTGCCTGGGCACCTCGTGGAAGCCCAGCTGTTCCAGCTGCTCTGCAGGCCTGCAGTCTGCATGGCGCCCCCATTGCCTGAGGGCGCTGGAGGGGGCAGCGGGAGCCCTGGGCACCTGCCCGTGAGCAGGCGGCTGCGTGTCCCTCTGCTCTGCTCCTCCGGGCACAGCTGCTGCGGGGCCTCGCCATCTCCCAGCCCCTCTCCTCCCCCAGTGGCCCAGAGCCGCCCCCCCTTCCCGAGGGCTGCAGGAGCGGGCGTGCCTCAGGGGCTCCCTAAGGCTCCACACTGCTGCCCCGCAGGAGAGCTGTGACTGCATGTGGGAGGGAGCCCGGGACGTGCACTGGCAGGGGGACAGAGCCAGCCCAGGTGCACACTGGCAGCAGCGGGAGCCCCGCCCCACGGAGAGTCCACCCACACCACCGGCCTCCTCAGCACCTGCCCCAGACAGGGTGTGTGGGGGGGCTTGACACGGCGGACTCTTCTGGACACAGCAGCTTCAGACAGGCCACCCAAGCACCACGTGTGAGCAGTGGCCTGACCTGGTTTGGACCAAGAAGGGCCATTTCTTGGCATTACCGGCAACTGAGAAAACTTGACTTCGTACAGCACAGCAGACAGTCCCTGGGCCTGCCGGTGAGCTCCCCAGGGTGCTCCCAGCTCTGTGCGGAGGGCAGACTGGCTGACCCCACAGCCGCAAGCAGCCCTCGGGCAGGCCAGCCGGAGCGGTCGCCTCTGTCCCTGCGCCCGCTGACTGCCGTGCAAGGAGGACGTGGGCTCTGGGTGATTCTAGATGTGTCTGCAGTCGGCCCTCGTGCACTGTGGTTGATCAGGTCCAGACTCTGCTGCGGTAAATGAGTTCCCGCCAAGTGGGTTCTTTGTTAGATACAGTCGTCCCTCCCACTTCACACTTCGACTTTCGCGACTTCACTCTATCGCGGGTTTTTCCAATATAGTACAGTCATCCCTCATCTACCGCGGTTGGTCAGCTCCAGACTCTAGCGGGTACGCCTGGCGTTGAAGGAGTCCTGGGGTGCTGGAATACATGGGCCTACAGCCCACACGTACAGTAACTTTAATTTAATTGCAATACAGGGTGTATAATTGCCTCGGACAGCCGAGCGTGCGCTGTATTATTTTCACTCTCGATCAACTTTTTAACGAACGTATTTGAAAAACTGCAATAGGGCGAAAGCCGCAAAAGTCGAAACGCGAAGTGGCGAGGGACAATTGTAGGTTTGAAATTTAGAAGAAAATGAGGGAAGAGGGCAAGGTTCGGAGCGTCTGCTCTTCACGTCCTCACGGCCACGCTCACCCTCAGTGTAGTGCTGTGTTCTCAGCACCAGCCTCCCCGCGTGCTCCTGTGGTCCTTGGTCACGGTCCCCCGGCCTCCCTCCGGAGGGACCAGCGCTCTGTCTGCAGACACACCCACTTCAGAGCTGGGCCTCAGGAGCGGCTGCAGAATGGGCCCTGGGTTACCCTAGTCTCTGGTTACCTCCCTGCGGAGTCACCCCCAGGTCACGCCCAGGTGGCCACAGCCTCCTGCTCCCCCACACCTGCTCCCACCTGCTCAGACACCTCTCGGCAGAGCGTGTGGGAGAGCATCTCTATCAGGGCCTCCGGCCTGCATGCCTCCCAGTGTCCCAGCCTGAGCCTGCCGGTGCCCAGTGTCCTCCAGTCCTCGCCAGGCAGGATCCGGTGGTCCGTCTTCCTCTCCCGGCCTCTGGCTGTGCTGGCGAGTTTCCCTTTGTCTGTGTGGCCTCTGCTCTCAGGACAGGCTCTTGAGCCATCTGTGAGCTTCTGCTCCCAGGTTTCGACTTCCCAACTGCTCAGTTCCTCCTGGCAGCCCTCTCAGCCCGGACCTGTCTCCTGTACCCCCACGGGGGTCTCCTTCCCATGCGACAGCTGCTCACGGGTCCACAGGCACCTGGATCTCAGCCTCTCTGAGCCGCGGTGCGCCCTGCCCATGCCGCCTGGCAGCCGTCTCCTGGGCAGCAGCTGTCCTCTGTCCACACCACCACCACCACCACCACCACCACCCCGCTGCGGCCTCCCTCCCTCTGTCCACACCACCACCACCACCACCACCCCGCTGCGGCCTCCCTCCCTCTGTCCGCACCACCACCACCACCACCACCCCCACCCTGCTGCGGCCTCCCTCCCTCTGTCCACACCACCACCACCACCACCACCACCACCCCCTGCGGCCCTCCCTCCCTCTGTCCGCACCACCACCACCACCACCACCCCCACCCTGCTGCGGCCTCCCTCCCTCTGTCCACACCACCACCACCACCACCACCCCGCTGCGGCCTCCCTCCCTCTGTCCGCACCACCACCACCACCACCACCACCACCCCGCTGCGGCCTCCCTCCCTCTGTCCACACCACCACCACCACCACCACCCCCACCCCGCTGCGGCCTCCCTCCCTCTGTCCACACCACCACCACCACCACCACCCCCACCCCGCTGCGGCCTCCCTCCCTCTGTCCACACCACCACCACCACCACCACCCCCTGCGGCCCTCCCTCCCTCTGTCCACACCACCACCACCACCCCCCCCCCCTGCGGCCTCCCTCCCTCTGTCCACACCACCACCACCACCACCACCCCCTGCGGCCCTCCCTCCCTCTGTCCACACCACCACCACCACCACCACCCCCACCCCGCTGCGGCCCTTCCTTCCTCTCTCTGGACCCAGCTCCTCTGCTAGTCTTCCACTCAGCCTGGGTGAGGCCCAGAGTGTCACTTTCTAGTGACCCATCTTCAGTCTGACCATGTACAGGCAGGGGCATGAACCCCCTTTTGAGATAACACAGCCTCTCGTGCCTGTGGTCTGCAGGGCGAAGTTCACACACTGGAGCCTCCACGCTGTGTCGTGACCTCTGTCTGAGCCCGTCGCTGTGTCGGCTCTGAGCTCTGAGAGTCTGGGCCGGGGTCTGGGTCCTGGTCATTTAGGGGAGACCGAGGAGGAGGAGGATACAGGCACTCTGCCCATCCCTTCCTGTCAGGACCTCAGCTACACTAGGACGGACACGGGAAGGGGACTTCTTAGGCCAGCTGAGTGACTGGGCTCTGGGCAGGAGGGCAGGCGACGTCCCTCAGCAGCTGTGGTGTGGCGCTGGCCTCCTCCCTTCGCGTCCAGGCACCTCTGGCTGCCCTTGCTGTTCTCTCACCTGGCACACAGTTGCGTGAGCTCAAGCCCAATGCAGTCTGTCTCCTTCCCCTGTCGGGGCCTTGGCGTCTCTCAGCACCGCGGACAGCGCCCGGCACACGTGTCTGAGTGCGTGGCCGGCCAGGGGCCGGGGCCTGTGCTTCTGACAGGCCATCCAGAGTCGTCCACGTCTCTGAGAGGCAGTCTCAGGGAGGCACTTTTCTGCTGCGATGGTCTCAGTCGCCCTGGCTGCCCTGACGTCACCCCCACCTCCGCAGATGATCCCCAAAGCTAGCGAGCCGGCCCGGCAGCCCGAGAGCCACCCCGAGGAGACGGAGGAGGAGCTCCGCGAGCACCAGGCCCTCCTGGAGGAGCCCTACCTGGACCGGCTCCCCGGGCAGAAGGAGGCACACGAGCTGGTCGCCGTGCAGGTGAAGCAGGAGCCCGCGGAGAGCGACGGCGAGGAGGAGCCGCCCCGGGACACGGAGCCGGGCCAGCGCCCACCCACCGAGCAAGAGCTGCTCTTCAGACAGGTGACCACGCGGGGGCGGCAGGGGGGGAAGCCGCACAGGGAAGGGGCGTGGACAGGAGCTGGAGGGGCGGGCGGGAGGGACAGGCCCCGCTCACACGGTGGCCCTGTTCCTGGTGGGCAGTGGGAACCGAAGGGTCTCGCCCACTCCCTCCTGCCCAGTCTTCGCCCATCTGGGTGGTGTGGGAGGTGACTGAAGTCCCTGTTTACCTCGGTTGTGTCTGGACACACTGCCATTTCCAGCCAACACTGGCCCGCACTCCCTGGGGACGGTTCCTTCAGGTCTGCAGGCTGAGGTCAGCATAGGTGCAAGTGTGGGCAGGACCCAGCATGGGCATTGACAGTGGGGGAAGGGGATCGTTTCTTTTTTTCTTAATCCTCACCCGAGGATATATTTTCATTTATCTTCAGAAAGAGTGGGAAGGAGGGAAAGAGAGAGAGAGAAAGAAACATCAACATGAGAAGGACACATCGACTGGTTGCCTCCCGCATGACCCCCACTGGGGCCGGGGACCGAACCACAACGGAGGTATGTGCCCTTGACCAGTATCGAACCTGCGACTCTGTGGTCCGCAGGCTGACGCTCTAACCACTGAGCCAAACCGGCCAGGGCAAGATTAATTCTTAGCGGATCACAAAGGTAGGCAGGACCTTTGGGGGCCAAGGAGGTGGAAGTGACCGTCCTTGCAGATCCAGAAAAACAATGTCACTCAGGTGCCCAGAGCCAGTAATGGTTCTGGGCACCCACCCAATAACTAAACTCACAAGAGGCTGATGCATGTGTCTGATCAACGGTTTATCGGTTCACTGAAAATAAAACTGCAGGTCAGCCAGCCAGCGAGGTGGAGCCTCGTGTGAGAGGCCTGGGTGCTCCTCCGAGGCTGCCTGCTCCTCGGCAGGACAGGGGCCAGGGCTCGAGACCTGGCGTCTGAGCGTGCCCTCCAGCGACAAGCTCTGTCCGGTGCAGGTCCCCTGGCTCGTCCCCTCCTTTCTGGACAGGTGACAGTGTGCTGACCCCCAGCCTCCCCAGCAGCACCTGGGGACCACCTAGGACACAGGATCTCAGATCCCTCGGGGCCCCGGGGGGCCGGGCGGCCGCTCGTGCTGTCCCTCACTCAGCGCCGCTCGCTCGTCTCCCAGCCGCAGTCGGCACCGGCTCGGAACCGCTGCCCTGCAGAGTGCCCTGGGGACGCACGAGCACCGACAGGCTCGGCCAGAGGAAGCCGTTCCTGCTTCGCGGCTCCGGGGACGAGCCTGGCGGCTCTCCTGGCCGGGGGCTCCTTGGGCTTCGCTCCCCGCAGTGTAGTCCTGGGGTCTAGGAAGGAAGCAGATCTCGTTACAGCTGGAATTCAGTGTGTCGTTAGGATGCGGATACGAGACTGGAAAATACTTATGTGAGTTTTTAGGGCAGACACCTCGTAGATGGCAGAGCCACCAGCATTTACTTAGGATAGCCTTGTACCCCGAGCCCAAGACGATCATTGGAAGCACTTATTTTCTGTGCCCTTTGGAGGGTGATTAGCAGAAGTCCTTACCCGGGAACTCAGTGGTGCGAGTGGCAACTTGCAGATGTCAGTGTGAGACGGCGTATCTGAGTTTGTGGGAACCCCGAGTCCTGGGAAGAGGGCTGGTTGGTGGTAGGTAGCTGTGAAGCTGGCTGTGTGCCCCTCGGGGCTCTTCCTCTCTGCCCTCAGCCTGCTGTGCGCCTGCCTCCCCCCCAGGCTCGGGAAAGCGGAGGCGCACCTCGCGGTGGGCCCGGCGGGCCTGGCGGGCCTGGCGGGCGAGGAGCTGTGCTGTCCCTGTGGCCCCCGGGTCAGCAGCTGCTCGGGCGGGGCTGGGCTAGCCGCAGGGTCCCTCTGGCTTCCTCCACCTCCTGGAGGACACACATCCTCGGCCTGTCCAGTGTGCCATCGGGGCCTATCTCCCTCGGGCCCTGCTGAGCAGCCCACTCCACAGACCCCGCACTTCACCCTCCGTGGCCCTGGGTCTGAGCCCCTCGCCCCGCCGGCCTCCGCCGCTCCTTCCCCTGGCTCACTGCACAGAGGGGAGAGGTGATGAGCCAGCTGTGGACTCCGGGGGCCTAGCGTCCACGCACCTGCCCCGAGAGGGTCAGAGCCATGAGCCCCAGTGCTGTCTGTTCTCACCGGAGCCACTTGCCACGTGCAAACTGGTTTTATGAAGAAAAACTTTCCATGGAAGTCTGTGTTTAATTCACCCATTTTAGAACTCTGTTTTGTTGGGGTTTTTGCTGAAAGATGGTCTTTCTGGGGTCCTGGGATGGTCCATGTGGGCCCCACCTCCTCAGAGATCCGTCCACACCCTCCTGGCCCATCACCCCGCTGGCTGGGCGTCAGGAACCCGACGGCACGTCTCCTCTGCTCCGGCAGCCCTTCCTGTCCTCGAGCAGGGACCTGGGCGGTGAGGGGCCAGGGCGGGGAACCGGCAGGTGATGTCGAGTCAGCATTCCCCTCTGTGATGGGCTCTTCGACCCAGGTTTCTGGGCACAGAGCAAGTGCTCTTGGTCAAAACAGACAACAGTCAACCAGAAGGGCTGCCTGGGGCTGCCAGGGCATCTGCTGGCCATCAGTGCCCGTCCGGCTGCCACCGTGTGCGGCAGGGGGTGAGCAGATGGGGGGCTGCGCGATGCAGGAGGAGAGGGCACCCAGCCCTCCAGCAACACACGTGTCCCCCCAGCAAGCGCTCCTGCTGGAGCAGCAGCGGATCCACCAGCTGAGGAGCTACCAGGCCTCCATGGACGCCGCCGGCATCCCTGTGTCCTTCGGCAGCCACCGGCCGCTGTCCCGGGCCCAGTCCTCCCCCGCCTCGGCCACCTTCCCTATGTCTGTGCAGGAGCCCCCCAGCAAGCCGAGGTTCACCACAGGTAACGTGAGCGGGGCGGGCGGGCGGCTGGCTGTGCGAGTGTCTGGGAGGTGCGCCTGGGGCCTGCACCGTCCAGAGGGCGAGGCGTCCAGCCAGACGTGGTGTGGAGGACAGGCCTCGCCCGGGGCTGGAGGGCTGGACAGCCTCAAACTGGGGAGGGGGCGCAAGTGGACGGCTCGCTGAGGCTCCTCCTACCCTTCGTCGGTGATCCTGGGGCGTCTCTCCTGGGCGCAGAAGCCCACCTTCCCCTCCCAGAGTCAGTGTTCTCCAGAGAACAGGCCATCCCCAGGCCAGCATGAGCGTGAGGCTGGCTGCTTCCTGCCTGGCAGCAGGTACAGGGAACCTGCCCTGTCTTGTCTGTCCCTGGAGCTGAGCCTGCATCCAGGGCTTTGGCCGTGAGGCCCAGTGACGGCTGCGGCCTGCACGGTGCACTCACCTGGCGCGGTGCCCCCAGCCAGCCCCGGACTCTGCTTCCTCCCTGCTGTGCTGCGGCAGTGGTCTTGGTTCTGACTGCCGTCCTGCACTGCCCCTCACCCTGCCAGAGTCGGGACAAGGCCACACCCACGAGCCAGGAGTGAGCCAGGATGGTCCAAGGCACTGAGCCTAGGGCGCCCCGCCAGGGACAGCTCTGTCACCGATGTTTCTTTCCAGTGATACACTAAGAAACGATCTCGACACAGTGGTTTCATCCTTCTCCAAACAGTCCTTATGCCGTGTCTCGTTTCTTTCAGTTACATCTGAGTATGCCCAAGTTCTTTTAGTCGGCTCTTTTTTTTTTTATCCTCACCTGAGGACATTTTTCCATTTTGTTGTTCAGATAGAGTGGAAGGGGGAGAGAGAGAGAAACATCGACGTGAAAGGGACACATCGAGTGGCTGCCACCCGCACAACCAACCAGGGCCGGGGACAAACTGTAACCGAGGTACATGCCCTTAGCGGGAACCGAACCCGGGTCTCTCCGGACCGCAGGCCGAGGCTCTAACCGCTGAGCCAAACCGGCAGGGCTGTCAGCTCTTAAAAGGATACTGTTCACTTCAGAGAAAAACTTAAGTAGCAGTTTTCCAGAAGTTCAAGTGTTGTTGCCCAGGAGGAAACCAGAGACCGCACAGGCTCCCGTAGCCAGTGTGGCTGTGGGACAGGGAAGGGTCCTGGCCTCTGCCAAGGTGAGCAGGGGCCCAGCCCAGAGCAGAGACCCGCCTTGTCACCCTCTGAGCCCACAGGCTCCCGTAGCCAGTGTGGCTGTGGGACAAGGAAGGGTCCTGGCCTCTGCCAAGGTGAGCAGGGGCCCAGCCCAGCAGAGACCCGCCTTGTCACCCTCTGACCCCACAGGCTCCCGTAGTCAGTGTGGCTGTGGGACAGGGAAGGGTCCTGGCCTCTGCCAAGGTGAGCAGGGGCCCAGCCCAGCAGAGACCCGCCTTGTCACCCTCTGACCCACCCTCGAGGGCCGGCTGGTGGAGAGGCAGGATTTCGGGACCAGTCTCCCTCCTGGAAGTGACTGAGCTCTGCAGCACGCAGACTGCCGCCCGGGAGACAGGAGTCCGAGGGCGGCCTCCTTCCCCGCCGTGCAGGCTGGCGGGCGCCCCGGCAGGAGAGTTGTCGGCGCCACCGCTGGGCAGGTGTGCGCCGACACCAGTGCCAGTTCGCCCGCTTGGCCTCTCCTCGGGTTCCGTCGCTGTGAACAGCAGTTGAGGGGTCCTGGTGAACCTCGACTTCTCCAATGAGTCGTCCCTGCAGGGTGGCACGCGCCGTGAGCCTCCGTCCATGTCTGCAGAAGCGGCCGCCTCCGCAGCTCCCGGGGCCGGCGGCACAGCCGCACTCTGACGGGCACCCTCCTCCCCACAGGCCTGGTGTACGACACGCTGATGCTGAAGCACCAGTGCACCTGTGGGAACAGCAACAGCCACCCCGAGCATGCCGGCAGGATCCAGAGCATCTGGTCCCGGCTGCAGGAGACCGGCCTCCGGAGCAGATGCGAGGTGAGGCCGGGCCGAGGGCAGCGGGAGGGAGTCGGGTGGGGTGTGGAGCAACGTGGGGAGGGCCTGTGAGCATGTCCCCTGTGAGGCCTGGCAGCTTGGGGTGCTCAGACTGTCCCTGAAGCCCAAGTCCTCCCTGAAGGAAGGCCCGCCTCTGACCTGCATCCGCTGGCCGCCTGCACCCCTTCCCCATGTACCCTGTCCCCCTGTGCTCCATCCCCTGCTCCCCTGCACCCCTGCTCTGCTGTCATCCGGCACACCCTCGCTGAAGCCGTGGCTGTTCGTTCTGCTCGCTGCCTGGGGCCATCTGCTGAGGCTGTGCCCCAGCAGCACCGGGGTGCACGCGGGTCTCTGCCGCAGGAGGGAGGCCCCAGGGCGAGGGGCCTGTGCTTTTCCTTCAGTGCCCTCGCTTCAATGTTCCCAGCGCTTCACCAAGTATGAAGTGTCCTCGGGGGAGGGCAGTGCCCACTCGTGAGTAGAGCTGGGCACTTGCTCCCAGTCTCCAGACCTCACCACTGGGGGGCAGCATCGCCCCAGTGGACGCAGCTGTTATTCCTGTTCCTCCTGCCAAAGCCCTGGCCCTGCTCCTCACAGGGCTGCCGGGGCCTCGGAGACCCCCAGGAATAGCTCCTGTCCCCCCCACGGCCCCAGGAGGCCTGTGCGGTGGCGTCTCCCTGACGTGGGAGGTGCCCGGGGACTCGGGTTCCATTTTCTCTCGGGGAGGACACGGAGGCAGCCCACGCCCGTGGCAAGTCCTCTGTGGGACCGGACCCAGGCGTGGGCGCAGAGCAGTGATCTGAGGCAGGTGGTGTGTGGGGCAGTTAAGGCTAAAGCGTCAAAGATGGGAATTGCTTTTTAAATGTGTTTCTGTTACAATTAAAATGTAAACCCTCAAATATTCTAAAACATTTAAAAAATACTGTGTTGGGTGATGTTTGCTTTTTTATTTTCAAAGACCTAATAGTTTTCTGCACGTATACAGTTTCCTTTCCTCTGGGTGACGGTTTTCTATGACCCTGAGCCCCACGCACACGGGAGATGTGAGCGCCCTCTCCCCTTGTGTCCCCACAGTGCATCCGTGGACGGAAGGCCACGCTGGAGGAGCTGCAGACAGTGCATTCGGAGGCCCACACCCTGCTCTACGGCACAAACCCGCTCAACAGGCAGAAGCTGGACAGTCAGAAGCGCCTAGGTACTACAAGGCTTCGCCCTGCCTGCCTGAGTTGCTCTCCAGGCCTGGGTGCGCTCAGGGCAGCTCTGTGCCTGGGCCTGGAGGGTGCCCGCCCCGGGCTTGAGGCTGCGGCCTGACCGGCAGTGTCGTCCGCCAGGCTCCGGGCACAGGCAGGGGAGCCCTCTGCGAGCCCGCACAGGCTGCGGTGCCACAGGGGCGCTCACCCTCGCCGTCGGCGGGCACTAGCGTCTTGCTTGTGTCCTGTGTCCTCCGGCTTCACAGGACCTGAGACGGTGGAGGTTAGGTGCTCGAGCCCCGGCCTGCCGCCTGCCTCGCCTGCATGGGCCTGGAGTCTGAGGAGCTCCAGCCTGGGCCCCGTCGCTGCGATGTGCGGTGCTCGGCCCAGGGCTTCGGCTCTGGCTGGCGGCGCATGCGGGAGTGGGCTCTGGGCCGACGGAAAGAACTCTCCTATAGGCACGTCCTGCCTGGGGGTGGGAGGAGTCGCCACAGTGGGTCCTGCACGGACAGTCCCTGGGGTTCCCAGAGGCAGGTCCCACCCTGTCAGGACCCTTCTCGGACTTCTGGCCTTTCTGCCACCTCGTACTGGGACAGCCACCGGTCATGGGTTTTCTTCTCCCCGGGGAGAGACGCCCCCATGGGTTCCTTCCTGATCTGGAGCAAAAGCAGGCAGCGGGCCTGAGAATTTCAGATACTGGGTCACTGGGCAGGGAGGAAGGGGGTGGGCTGGGCCTGTTCCCACTCGTTGCCATGGCAGCAGCGGGGAGTCTGCTCCGCCCTGCGCCGGGCCCTGCAGCGGGCAGTCTCAGGGTTCCGCCGCTGCCTCCTTTCTTCTCCCCCGCGCACACTCACGGGGCCCCCACCGGTGGGAGTGGGCTCTGAGAACATGGGAGGGCACCCTGACAGACCGCCCCCCAAGATCCCCAGCAGTGGAGCTCACAGATCATAAGCCCACTATTTGCCCAGAGCTTCTAGGGGCTTCTAGGTCCTTGGTCTTAGGCACCAGCACAGGACCCAGGATTATCCTGCCTGGGAAGGGGCTCGGCAGGGAGACAGCCTGACACCACAGCTCTGAGGGTGGGCTTGTGGGGAGGCCGGGCGCAGTGGGGGACCAGAGCCCTGGCAAAGCCCGCGGAGGCGCTGCTGCACCCGGTGCGGAGCCGGCGTCCAGAGAGAGCCGCCAGGCCCGGCATCCCAGGGATGGAGACCTCGGGCTGGAGGACAGTGGGGCAGTCCCCAGGAAGCAGAGCCAGAGTGACGAGAACTGGGACGAGCGAGGGGAGGGTCAAAGGCCTTCCCTGAGGATGGTGCCCTGACAGCCGTGCTTCAGAGGAGTCAAGGAGAGGGGCAGGGAGCCCTTGGGGCCGCCCAGCAGGTCCAGAGAGCGGGTCTGCTGGGGAGTCAGCACGAGGCCTCGCTGCTGCCGAGGGGGGTGTTTCCAGCCTGCCGTCTGCTCGGCCAGACTGCTGGCCGGTGAGGGGCACGGGCACCTGCAGGGCCGTCTCCCCGTCTGCTCGGCCAGACTGCTGGCCGGTGAGGGGCACGGGCACCTGCAGGGCCGTCTCCCCCTCTGCTCAAGGCTGCGGTGGATGAACCACCATCGTGAGGGGAGATTCAGAGGCGGCAGCTGGGCCACGGGCAGGGCGTTCTGCCCATCTGCTCGGTGCGGCCGCCGTCACAGCACAGACGGGCTTATGGACGGGACTCGCTGCTCACAGTTCTGGAGGCTGCACCTCCAGGGGCAGGGCCCCCCCCGTGCACACGCTGTCCTCTCGGTGTCCCCCGTGGCAGATGGTTGAGGGAGCTCTGCGGGGTGCCCTGGAGAAGGCCTCTGATCCATCCGCATGAGCGCTCCATCCGCACGACCCAGTGACCACCCAGCACCTTCACATTGGGCACCAGGCCCCACGTGAACTTGGGGAGACACAGCGTTCTGGTCGCAGCGATCAGAAGCCAGACCCCACAGGACAGCAGAGCAGGTCCACCAGGCGGCCGTGCTCCCTGAGCAGAAGCATCCAGGCAGTGGACAGGTCAGTGTGGGCAAGAGCCTTCCTGCCGGCCGTCTTCACGGAGACGCCAGGTGCCACTGGACCTCCGTGTTGCCCGAACCAGGACTCTGAGGGCCAGCCAGGGCCCTGTCTGTCCTTCTCACCTGGCCATGCAGCTCCTCTCCTCCCTCCAGGCTGCTGCCGGGTGAACGGGCGGGCGCCCACGCCATCCTCACAGCTGCTCCACACTGACTGGCTTTAGAAGGACATGCAGAGAGCTCCAGGCCGCCCTGCCGGTGCTCTGCTGTGCTGAGCCTGTTTCTCATCCGCACCAGGCGCCCCGGGGCAGCAGGCGTGGGGGAGGGCAGAGCCCCCCGCTGTCCGGGCAGCAGGCGTGGGGGAGGGCAGAGCCCCCCGCTGTCAGGGCAGCAGGCGTGGGGGAGGGCAGAGCCCCCCGCTGTCAGGGCAGCAGGCGTGGGGGAGGGCAGAGCCCCCCGCTGTCCCGGGCAGCAGGCGTGGGGGAGGGCAGAGCCCCCCGCTGTCGGGGCAGCAGGCGTGGGGGAGGGCAGAGCCCCCCGCTGTCGGGGCAGCAGGAGTGGGGGAGGGCAGAGCCCCCCGCTGTCTGGGGCAGCAGGAGTGGGGGAGGACAGAGCCCCCCGCTGTCCGGGCAGCAGGCGTGGGGGAGGACAGAGCCCCCCGCTGTCTGGGGCAGCAGGAGTGGGGGAGGACAGAGCCCCCCGCTGTCCGGGCAGCAGGCGTGGGGGAGGACAGAGCCCCCCGCTGTCTGGGGCAGCAGGAGTGGGGGAGGACAGAGCCCCCCGCTGTCTGGGGCAGCAGGCGTGGGGGAGGACAGAGCCCCCCTCAGTCCGGGCAGCAGGCGTGGGGGAGGACAGAGCCCCCCGCTATCTGGGGCAGCAGGCGTGGGGGAGGGAGACCCCGCTGTCGGGGCCCAGGAGCTGTCAGCTCGCAGGCACTGTGTTCTCTGCACTGTTCTCGCTGCCTCACACGCTTGTTCAAGCTCAGCCCCGTGGCTTCGGAGGCAAAGAAGTGTGGGGGCCGTGAGGGGGCTGGGGTGGTCTGTCCTCGGTCACGGGAGTGGGAGAGACCGCATGGATGTCATGTACACCTTCAGTGTGGATAATCCTGCTACTCACCCCCAAAAGGCAGCTGTCTCAGCTGTGGGGCAAGTTCAGGGTGCCCAGGCCCCTCACCCCAGGTCATAGGGACGGGGCTCCAGATGGACACATGGCGCGTGGAGAGCCTGGAGGCCAGAGCTGTGGTGCCAAGAGGGGCAGAACGTGACCACGCACGAGACGGCCCACGGGGCCCCAGAGGAAAGGGCACCTGCAGGGCCAGGCTTTGTAGAAAGAGCCTCCAGGGTGAGGACCGTGGGCAGTGGGGGCCGTGTGCGGCCTCAGCAGGAGGAACGGACGAGGAGGCCACACGCAGAAGGTGGCCTCACAGCGTGACGGGCAGTGCCTGGTCCCCGGAGTCTCCAGGGTCCTCCAGGAAATGTGCTTCCAGCGACGCTCACCGCTGGAGTGTCCTTCTGGGGAGGAGCGAGGTCCCTGCTGTGCCTGGTGCTGCGGCGGCGCGGAACCAGCCGCCTACAGCCGCTGCGGGCCGGGTGCGGCTTACAGTCGTGACGTTGGGAGTCACTTGGCCTTCTCACCAAGCTCTGTGCGCTGAACTCTGTTTACATGGCTGTGAGGACACCTGCTCGGTCTCCTTGAAGTTTCTGACGGCTGCCCTCACTCGGACACGTCACTGCCATTGGTCTGGGTGTCCCAGACGCAGCAGTCGCTGGCCACTCTCTCGGAGGTCAGCTCAGCCCTGACTCGTGTTCAAACGCTGCTGGGCAGCTTCTCTTCCTCTCGTGACCGAGTCCACGCGTTCCCGATTGGCGATGGCACGGAGCTCGCTGGGCTGGAGGGCACTGCGGACACTCGAGGGGCTGGGCTGTCACCCTCCTGGGTGTTCCTGGAAGTCAGATGGGTCGTCTTCTGATGGCAGCGACGCGGAAAGGGCTGGAGGAGCTTGCTCCTGTGACTGGGGGCCAGGCAGGCCTTCCCAGGTGGCCAGCATCACGCACTGTCCAAGGGAACTTCAGTGTTTGTCGGGGGAGGGGCTGGTCTTTATGCACATTCTAGAAAGATTCCTCATGTCTGAAGGGCTCATCATATTTCAGATCCTTCCCCTTTTTTACAGATGGGGGATCTGCTAGGGCCTTGGGACTGAACCCAGCACGAGGGCCGGTGAGGCAGTGAGGCTCCCTGTGGGCCGGGCAGGTCTGCTCCTGGGACTCAACCCAGCGCGAGGGCCGGTGAGGCAGTGAGGCTCCCTGTGGGCCGGGCAGGTCTGCTCCTGCGACTCAACCCAGCGCGAGGGCCGGTGAGGCAGTGAGGCTGGCTGTGGGCCGGGCAGGTCTGCTCCTGCGACTCAACCCAGCGCGAGGGCCGGTGAGGCTGAGGGCTGGGCAGACAGCAGCCAGGACTGCACCATGCACAGCTGCACAGCTCCAGCTGGAAGGGAGCCGCCTGCGGGTGCCTCCCCGGCCCTGTGAGGAGGGTCCCGCAGGCCCAGGACCCACTGCCCAGCAGATGCCACCCTGCTGGCAGCCACACGGGGGTGCAGTGGTGCCTTAGAAATGGCTCGCCCTCCGTGGGGGTGCCGGTGTCCCAGGAGCAGCCTGTGGCTCCCGCAGCACTTCCAGAGCCCGCTGTGCTCACTGCAGCCAGCGCTCTGTGACCTTGGCCTCTGACCTTGGCTCTCCTTCTCCCACAGGCTCGCTAACCTCCCTGTTTGTCAGGCTGCCCTGCGGCGGTGTTGGGGTAAGTATTTCTTTAATGTGTAAATAATGTCCTGTTTGTTCTCCGGGTCCCAGTGGTCACAGAAACCGCTGCCTCGCTCTCTGCAGAGTGGATAATGGCTGCCAGGTGTTTTCCATAAACGGGCTGGCGGCCAGGCTGCCCCACTGCTCACACGTGTGGCTTCAAAGGCCTGGTGAGCCTGCAAGCGTCTGATGGCTGAACTCGGGCACCTTCCCGGGGAGGGTCGTCTGGCACCAGGGCCCGCCTAGGAAACGGGACCAGGTGTGCGGCTGGTCTGCAACTGCAGAGCAAGGGCCGCTCGCCCGACTGGTGGCAAAGACATCACGTGCCGGGCATGGGTGGGTCCTGTGCCGATGTCCAGCCCATCACCCCTGAAGCTCAGAGCGAAGCCTGACGTTCTGCTGGCCGGGCCGTGCTCACTGCTTTTCCACCGGTGACCGTGCCTCTGAGCGCTTCCGGTCAGGAGACACTCGGGACTGCGCTGAGCTAGGACGGCTCTCTGGGCTGGCAGGAAGGTCAGGGCTCCTGCGCACCCCCTGGACGAAGGAGGGCGGGGGCGAGAACAGAGCTTCAGTTTGAAGGTGAGGCCGGGCCTCCTTCTGGTGGTCTGTGGGCCACCAGGTCCCCATGGCCCCGGAAATGGCCGAGTGGACAGCGGCCGTCGGCGGAGCTGTGTAGCAGGGTGTGCATGTGGTTTGCAGGTCACGGGGTGAAGCCCGAGGTCTGGATTCTGTTATGGAAATGAAGCAAAATTGTTTTCTTCCTGAGTCGTTATAGAAATCGCTGCTTTGAACATTATCCCGTCAGGAAGGGCATCAGCGGCATCTACTTGTCCACCACCAGGCCTCCTAGGGTTGTTTTATTCTGAATTGTAAGTAGGCTGCAACCTCTTCATTCAGGGCAAGCTTTTGGCCAGACTTGAAAAGGTTTGGATCCTCGCAGCCCTGCAGCCAGCGAGGGGCAAGGTGGGACTTATAATTTGCAAATGAAAACTAAGTGGGGCCTCTAGCCAGGCGCCACCCCCAAGCCCCCGCCCCCAGTACCAGTCCAGATCCAGTCCAGGTCTGCCGGCAGGGGATGCTCTGGAGCACGGGTCTGGGAAGAGGGAGTGTGTCCGGGTAATTAGAAAGTGCCACCCACAGGGCGTCCTAATTACCTGTTCTAGGAGGGCAGAGTGCATCGTGCCGCCCTCCTGCCCGGCTCTCAGTGAGTTGCTGGTGCGGCTGCACCTTCCTGGGCCTCAGCACCTCCTTCCAGCGTCAGGGACAGCCTCCAGAGGTCTTCAAGAGTACAGCCCACCCTCGGAGCCCCAGTGGGTGGGAACATCATGAAGCAGTACGGAGAGGCTGCTCCATCTTCCCGAGTTACTTTAAACTGGTGTTAGGTGTGTAACTCGTTCTCCCTCAGCTGTATGAAATACAAGTTAAAGTGGTTGACCTTTGCAAACCAAGTGGAGCTGCATTGCTCCCCTCTTCATTACTGTAGGTGTACCTTAGCAAGGCCCTGGCGCTGAGTGCCACACCCACTCGCCACTCCTGGTTAGTCACCACCTGCCGCCTCACCCTGAGCAGGGCGGCCTCCCCACAGGGTCGTGTGTCCAGGCTGCACTCCCCCCCGCAACCTTGTGCTTCTAGCACTCGGCCTTGGAGCCTTGGAAGGGCTGGGGTCTGTCCCTGGCTCTGGACAGGATGGTGCAGGGCCCAGGTGGGCAGCAGGAGAGCAGCGCACAGAGACCTTCGACCTTCAAAGCACCTGGCTCAGTCTCCCTCCCCTGAAGCCCAAAACGTCGCCTGTGGAAGAAAAATAGCCTGAGTGGTTCTGTCCAGACTGCCCTCAGGCCTTAGAGGCGCAGCCTCGGCGCTGGCCTGCCCGGGACGGTGCTGGCCTGAAGGCACAGGCACTGGCCACCTGCCCGGTCAGGGCCGGCACCTTCGAATCGGGCGAGCGGCTGGCCCGGAGGGCAGAGCACCGCGACCTGGCACGGAAGCCGGGTGTGGGAGTCGGAGAGCAAAGCTGTGGAGAGCGGGAAGCACAAGCGTTCCTGTGACATTTGGGAACCATTCAGAGAACACAGAGGTTCGGTCCTTGCAGGGAACAGCTGTTGTGGAGTCACACTCATCGGGCCACAGCTCAACCCCCTCAGAAACGTATTTTAAATCCTCTGTCTTCGAAGATGAAGTTTCGCGGCTCCCTTCAGGAAAGCTCCTGCCCCGTGACGATCTGTGTGGTTGCTGGGGCGAGCCTGTGCCTGGACGCACCTGCCGGGCGAGCCTGTGCCAGGACGCTCCTGCCCCACGTGACGACCTGTGTGGTTGCTGGGGCGAGCCTGTGCCTGGACGCTCCTGCCGGGCGAGCCTGTGCCTGGACGCACCTGCCGGGCGAGCCTGTGCCTGGACGCTCCTGCCGGGCGAGCCTGTGCCGGGACGCTCCTGCCGGGCGAGCCTGTGCCGGGACGCTCCTGCCGGGCGAGCCTGTGCCGGGACGCTCCTGCCGGGCGAGCCTGTGCCGGGACGCTCCTGCCGGGCGAGCCTGTGCCTGGACGCTCCTGCCGGGCGAGCCTGTGCCTGGACGCACCTGCCGGGCGAGCCTGTGCCTGGACGCTCCTGCCGGGCGAGCCTGTGCCTGGACGCTCCTGCCCCACGTGACCCTGGACGCTCTCCGGCACTGTGACGCTCCTGCGGGGGCAAGCCTGTGCCTGGACGCACCTGCCGGGCGAGCCTGTGCCTGGACGCTCCTGCCAGGCGAGCCTGTGCCTGGACGCTCCTGCCGGGCGAGCCTGTGCCTGGACGCTCCTGCCGGGCGAGCCTGTGCCTGGACGCACCTGCCGGGCGAGCCTGTGCCTGGACGCTCCTGCCGGGCGAGCCTGTGCCTGGACGCTCCTGCCGGGCGAGCCTGTGCCTGGACGCTCCTGCCGGGGGCCGGGCTTGGGTGTGGCAACGACACCTCTGTGTCAACTGCTGGGACCTGTCTCTGGATCCCCAGGGCCCAGTGCTCAGAGGCAGTGGGTTTCGGGAGGTCCCAGTATAGACTCACAGACTCAAAGGCGGACAGCGGTGTGACCGCACAACTTCTCAGCCTCCGCCGGGCAGGGTGCGAGGGTGTGTGCACAGCCGGCCGCAGGCCCTTGAGCAGCATTCAGGGGCTGCGCGCTTCCTCCTGGCCCCCCACTCGAGCCCTCAAGTCTTTCTCGCCCACACTACCCAGGGCTTAAAAAAAGCTGGTATGCCTCAATAAATAAGCCAACACACGGAAGTTTCTGACATGTCCGTGCCCCACACACTGTGTGAAGTGGAATGGGCAGACATGCCGTCACCTGGCAGAGTGTGATGCAGGGTCCACCAGGCTGTGCCCGAGACCCTCACTCCCCTCGCCCCCCGACTCCACGCCTCCGTTCCTGTGGAACTTATCAAATATTTGGTGCTTCTAAATAAATTCAGCACAAAATGAGGTCATAATTTGGAGAGACCTTTAATTCCTCTCACGTTTCATTTTGCTAATTGTTAGTGTAGCTCAGCTGCAGTTGGAGTGAAAGTAGATAAGAAGGAGCTGACCGGGACCTTGGCGTCGTCGCTCGCAGCTCCAGGCGTGTTGGAGCAGCCGAGGGAACGGGGCTCCGGAAGGGCGGGTCCGGCTCATCCGGCGCCTGCTGTGCTCGCCTGCTCGGTCTTGTGGGCACCTCTGCAACTGCGAAGAAGGGACAGGCTCTGCTGCGCAGCTTCGGAGGCTGAGCTCGCGGCTCACTGCCCGGTGTTGTCCCCACAGGTGGACAGTGACACCATATGGAACGAGGTGCACTCGTCGGGGGCGGCGCGCCTGGCGGTGGGCTGCGTGGTGGAGCTGGTCTTCAAGGTGGCCACGGGGGAGCTGAAGGTCAGTGAGGGCGCGCTGCGGGTGGGCTGGACGCTCCAGGGGGGGAGGGGCAGCCACTGCGACCCCCAGACAGACCCAGCGAGGCGCAGAGAGGGGGCCTGTCTGCCAGCACTGGATCGAAGGGAGCTTCCCCCCTCCGTGAAATCACACCGTGGAACCATCCTCAAAGATCCAGTGCTCGGAGCACTTTGTAAAAATCTTTAAAAGTTGTTGAAGCACCCCAAGAACTTTTGTGCATGTGAGTCATGTCCTCAGCAGGGACCATATTAGAGATGAAACCGAGAAACGTCTAAAATGTTTCCGAACGTGAGAAGATCTGTTTGGCTCAGGTCAGCTGGGTTCTCACAGCTGCTGCTGTGGGGTCTCTAGCGACGTGCTGTTTTGGTTGAAGTACATGAAGAAAGTGCCTCACACAGTCACAGGATTGAGGGGAGGGGATGTTTTCATAGCTATTTTAGATCATCATGGCTACTCTTTGAATCTGCACCAGAATTCAAGTGGAAGTCTCTGAGTTTAGTTGCAGTGTGGCACCTGAACGGGCAGTGAGTTCAGACCCGAGTCCACAGGTGCAGTGTGGCGCTGGGCATTTGCAACGGGCTTGCTGGGAGAGGTGTCCTCCCGTCCTGCCCCTTACTCACAGTCAGCACTGACCCCATCGGGGCGGTGCTCTGGGTGCAGGAGGCGCGGGGAGCTCCCCAGACACTCGGCTCATTTTCCCTTGAGCCCTCGGACCTTAGCGCTGACGGCACTGCTGCGTGCTGCTTCCCCGAGGTGGCAGCTCGCCCGCTTACCTGGGAGGGAGCCCGCGCACCCAGTGTGAGCAGTGCCCTCGGCAGTGCCCTGGAGGGGCTGGTGCGGCTGCGGGCAGCCAGGCCTCGGCCAGTGGCAGAGCTGCTCACACGCCTCCCGCTTCCCCGCACAGGGTGCGGAGGGCATTGCTCAGGGTCGAGAGTCTGTAAAATCGTTGAGTTTTGCTGCTTCGAGGACATGCTGCCTTTCCCCCGCAGATGTGAATATCACGCTGCGCGGGGTGGTCATCCAGCCGCTGCCTGAGTCCTGCTGTGACCTGTCAGGGGCCTCCTGTGCGTCTGCACAGTGCCCAGCACAGTGAGAAAGGTTAGGTCATTATGACAGCTGTCCCAGAGGAGCACGGGGACCAGGCCTGCAGAATGTGTGGGGCAGGGGCTCCCCGTGAGTGTGTCCTTCCCTGAGCAGGCTGCACACTACTGCCCGTAGCCCAGTGTAGTGGTCAGCTGGCCCTGGGGGCTGGTACTGACCCTCACCACACAGCTTTCTGTCATTGGTGAGACCTAGAGGTGCTAGTGGAGACCACTTTTATACAATGTACACATTCCACCCGTGCAGGCGAGAGGCTCCACTCGGTGCAGGTGAGAGGTTCTGCTCGGTGCAGGTGAGAGGTTCTACTCGGTGCAGGGGTGCTACTCAGTGCAGGTGAGAGGTTCTCAGTGCAGGGGTTCTACTCGGTGCAAGTGAGAGGTTCTATTCAGTGCAGGGGTGCTACTCAGTGCAGGTGAGAGGTTCTCAGTGCAGGGGTGCTACTCGGTGCAAGTGAGAGGTTCTATTCAGTGCAGGGGTGCTACTCAGTGCAGGTGAGAGGTTCTCAGTGCAGGGGTGCTACTTGGTGCACGGGTTCTATTCAGTGCAGGGGTGCTACTCAGTGCAGGTGAGAGGTTCTACTCAGTGCAGGTGAGAGGTTCTACTCGGTGCAGGTGAGAGGTTCTCAGTGCAGGGGTGCTACTTGGTGCACGGGTTCTATTCAGTGCAGGGGTGCTACTCAGTGCAGGTGAGAGGTTCTACTCAGTGCAGGTGAGAGGTTCTACTCGGTGCAGGTGAGAGGTTCTCAGTGCAGGGGTGCTACTCGGTGCAGGGGTGCTACTCCGTGCAGGTGAGAGGTTCTACTCAGTGCAGGTGAGAGGTTCTACTCGGTGCAGGTGAGAGGTTCTCAGTGCAGGGGTGCTACTTGGTGCACGGATTCTATTCAGTGCAGGGGTGCTACTCAGTGCAGGTGAGAGGTTCTACTCAGTGCAGGTGAGAGGTTCTACTCGGTGCAGGTGAGAGCAGGTGAGAGGTTCTACTCGGTGCAGGTGAGAGGTTCTCAGTGCAGGGGTTCTACTCGGTGCAGGGGTTCTACTTGGTGCAGGGGTGCTACTCCGTGCAGGCAAGAGGTTCTACTCGGTGCAGGGGTGCTACTCAGTGCAGTTCAGAGGTACTACTCAGTGCAGGGGTTCTGCTCGATGCAGGGGTGCTACTCAGTGCAGTTCAGAGGTGCTACTCAGTGCAGGGGTTCTGCTCGATGCAGGGGTTCTCGGTGCAGGGGTTCTGCTTGGTGCAGGCAAGAGGTTCTACTCGGTGCAGGGGTTCTGCTCGGTGCAGGCGAGAGGTTCTACTCGAAGTAGGGGTGCTACTCGGTGCAGGGGTGCTACTCGGTGTAGGGGTGCTACTCGGTGCAGGGGTTCTACTCGGTGTAGGGGTGCTACTTGGTGCAAGGGTTCTGCTCGGTGGAGGCGAGAGGTTCTACTCGGTGCAGGGGTTCTACTTGCTACAGGCGAGAGGTGCTACTTGGTGCAGGGGTGCTACTCGGTGCAGTTCGGAGGTGCTACTCGATGCAGGGGTTCTGCTCGATGCAGGGGTTCTCCTCGGTGCATGGGGTTCTCCTCGGTGCATATGTTGTATACAGCAGCTACAGAGCATTCTTGAAGTGGGTGGTTCTCCAGAGCATACATGACGTGGAGGTCCTCACGGAAGGCAGGAGCGTGTGCAGCTCCCTCCAGCTGGGAGACATCTGTTCCCAGTGCTGCCAGCTTTCCCGTGTGGCCCACTCCTCGTGATCTGTGCTGCAGTGATAACGACAGACCTTCACGTTAACCGCAAACTGGGGCCTGATATCTGACCCACAGCCAAGCCCCTGTTCCATCTGTATCCAGGGTCCCCGTCAAGTTACTGCCTGGGGAAACTGTCCTGAACAGAAGGGTAAGGAGGGTTTTTCCAGGCCTCCCAGGTCCCCGCACTGAGCAGCGTCAGCCCTGGGCGCAGGCCTGCAGAGGTGGGACGTCTCGGACAGCTTCCCTTAGGGGCTGCGAGCACCTGCGCACTCTCCACCAGACGGGCCGGCCCTGAGCGATGCTCACAGCCGGTGCTCCGTCCCCTCGCGCCCGGGTGCAGTGTGAGCCCGTCCTCGCGTGTCCTCTGAGCCTGCTGGTAGTGTGATCTGTACGGTTTTGCACTGATGTGGAACTAACCTACCGTCCGTTTCCCCCACATGTTCGGTGTGTTTAGAACGGCTTCGCCGTGGTCCGACCTCCAGGACATCACGCGGAGGAGAGCACGCCCATGTGAGTAGGCACAGGGGCCCCACGGGGGGTCCGGCTCTGAGCCCGTAAGGGCTGTGGTTGCACATGCAGCCCTCCTGTTAGTGGAGTGTGCTCGCATGTCTACAGTGCCCGCAAGACCCTCGTTAGCACGAGTGACTATCCGCACAGCCCTAGAGTCAGAGGTCGACTCCGCCTCGGGTGTTATGAAGGGATGAATCGGAGAAGAGAATGGGAACACGGGCATCCACAAAATTAGTCTAGATGAGTCTTTCAGTTGTTAAGTTCGTTGCAAAAAGAGGGGAGAGGAAACGGGACGCGCACAGGCGGCCCCGCGGCCTGTCCTCACCGCTGGGCACTCACCCTCGCGTGCTTCCCAGTGTGGCTCCTGAGCCAGCTGCTTACGGTTTGCTGATGATGAGGCTGAAGTCCCAGGGTCGTGGCCATACAGCCAGCTCTCTGGACTCTGTTTCGGGTTCTGGATTCCCCTGACTGTGCACATCTGAGGCATTGGCCGAGGTAGCGCGTGTGGCATGTGGATTGTCCTGTCTGCGTGTCCGTGGAGAGCCAGTGACTGTACACACTGCCCTGGGCAGGGCACAGCGCTGGCTGTCAGCCTCGGGTTCTGTGCAGACTGCCTTTGCCGCCTGGGCTCCAGGTGCCTCTTGGGGGGCCCAGGAGACCACACTGGGAGCACAGCAGGCTCTCGGCCCAGAGACACCTGGGCAAGTCAGGAGGAGGTGCCATCAGGGCTGTGCCTTGAAGAATGAGGAGTGGTTTGCCCCTGGCAAAGCAAGGAAGGTGCGGGTGGCACTCGCAGATTCCAGCAAGGAGGCGCGTGGCGGGCAGCACCCTCTCGAATCCACTGGGCCACGGTGGAGCCGTAGACTGAGCAGCGAGGCCCAGTGGAGCCCGTCATGGCAAACCCAGGCTGAGGGTCAGAGCAGAAGCTCAGGGGAATGGTCTTCGTGTAGGAGGAAGGGCATGGACTTGGCTTGGAGTCTGCAGCCTCACCCGAGCAGTTGCTGGCTGCCCCACGCCACCTGGGAGCAGAGTGACTTCTGGTTCGAGTCTCATTGGTGGATATTCTGAGTGTAAGCCTGATGACCAGTGGGTGACAGAGGAGTGTTTTTAGTGCAGTTCCTCTGTGGTGCCACAAGCTGCAGCCACGCCGTGGGTCACGGCTCCCAGACCGTAGCCTGGGTTCCAGAAGGAAACAGCCAGGCCACCTGGTTCTGTGGGAACCCGGGCGAAGGCAGGTTTAGACTGAGAAGAGCTTTATTTGGACCTGAATCACTTTCTTAGCTTCTCCTGCTCTCTCTAGTAAGACTCTGGAATTATAGCCCGTCACTGGGTGACAGTGTGTGTTGTTGCCATGGGTCTTACAGCCCGTCACTGGGTGACAGTGTGTGTTGTTGCCATGGGTCTTACAGCCCGTCACTGGGTGACAGTGTGTGTTGTTGCCATGGGTCTTACAGCCCATCACTGGGTGACAGTGTGTGTTGTTGCCATGGGTCTTACAGCCCGTCACTGGGTGACCGTGTGTGTTGTTGCCATGGGTCTTGCAGCCCGTCACTGGGTGACTGTGTTGTTGCCATGGGTCTTAGAATGTGGAAGGATGGGCAGTGAGCAACTGACATTGATCACGTTTCTGTTCTGTGGCCCATCGTGTCTCTTAAGACGCCAGTGAGAGCATCTAACAGACACCTCTGGCCGTCTGCACGCCAGACGCTGTCTGTCTGTATGCCTGTCGATCACAAGCATCAAGTGAGGTTCTCAAACTGCTTGATTAGAAATGACAGTCACCAGACCTTCTCAGAGTCTCAGTGACTCCGTTGCAAGTTGTGTAAAAACTGATCCAGCCCCAGCCGGTGTGGCTCAGTTGGTGGGTGTTGTCCAGTGTACTGAGAGGTTGCCGGTTTGATGCCCAGGCAGGGCACATGCTCAGGTTGTGGGCTTGATTCCCAGTAGGGGGCGTGCAGGGGGCGGCCAATTGATGTTCTCTCTCGCATCAGTGTTTCGCTCTCCCTCTCCCTTCCTCTCTCGCTCTAAAAATCAATTTTAAAAAACCTTTCAAAAACAAAACTGATTCAAATTCTTATTTTTTCTGTTTCTCCTGATTCTCACCTGCAGGGGGTTCTGCTACTTCAATTCTGTGGCCATTGCAGCCAAGCTCCTCCAGCAGAGGCTCAGCGTGAGCAAGACACTTATAGTGGACTGGGTGAGCTGTGGGCCCCACAGGAAGACTGCCCCTGTGGGGAGCGGCAGGCTTTCTGCTCCCACAGACCTTTTGATTTGGGGGCCTTCACTTCTGGAAACTACCTCAAGATGTGGAAAATGAAAGCCTAGGCCTGTTACGGACCTACTTAACAGCTCCCGTCCGCTGGTCCTGCCAAGAGCCGAGTTCCCAGAGTGTCTAGAGATGTGCCCGGGGCAGGGCCTCGCCGGGACGCAGTGCGGCCTGGACGGCGCGCCTCCGTCTGAGCACGTGGCCGCTCCCCGGGCCCACGCACAGCTGTGTTTGGCCCCTCTCCTGCCTCGGCCCGGCGGCCGGTTCGTGCGGCTGTGACCTCCTTCCCCGTTTCCCTGTAGGAAATGCCGCTTCTCGCGGCCCCTGGGCTTCACGAACAGGGTGGCCCGTTCTGGGTGGGCAGTCAAGGCGTCCATTGTGTCACTCTTTCTATAGAGAGGGAGGGAGTCAGGGATGTTCTCTTTGGTATTTATAATTAACTTTATAATATCTTAAGGAAAAAAATTAGGTACACCAGGTGGGAGTGTCATTTGTAATGCAAAGTTCTTCTCAGTTTGGTTAAAGCCAAGAATATGACCCAGGATACCCAGCACGCGGCTGTGTGTGGGCGCTGGTCACGGAGGTCCGGGCCCTCAGGTGGCCGAGGCTCTGGCTCAGGGAGCATCAGAAACCAGAGCGCTGGCTCCAGTGTGCCCGGCGCCCGTGGCCCTGAGCCCTTCGGTTGCTCCTAAGGGAGTAATGAGAAATTCTGGGGAAGCGACAGGTGCTACGTAGTTGATCCCACGTGCCCTGTGACAGCTCAGACGGGGCAGTGCCCCAGGCAGGGGTGCGGCGTGCCACCTGCCGCCTGTGCTCCCCGCCGCAGCCTGGCTGCTCGCCGCTCCTTGCCCTGCCGTTTCCCGCAGTGAGCGCAGGTGGCCCTGGTGACGGAAAGGGCTCTGAGCAGTTCTCTGGTGTCCCCATGCCTGGCTGCGGGCAGCTCCTTGAGCGACGCTGTGTGGTCAGGAGAAGTGGTTTGTCAGCTTAGTTTGGGGCCTGGGACCACATGGCTGTGTGCCTTGTGCGCCTGCCGCTCAGCCCTGCGGGGTGGTCCTCGCCCTGTCCCAGCATCAGGCCAGAGCTGACACCTTGGAAACAGCAGCCGTGGTCAGGTGGAGGAAATGGCTCACTTGTCAGACACCGTGGCCAAAAATTAAGTAAATGGTCTAGAAAATCATGGTCCCAGGCGGGGTTTCACCACCAGCCTTTTGTTGCCGAAGCCTGCGGTCTGCCCTGGTGCTGGGGACTCTGACACGGCCTCAGGCCTCTTCCTTCTTGTCCCTGGACCCCTGGGACCACTCCTGGGGGTGGGTGCTGGCGCGTCGGCCGGGGAGCAGCCGGCACTCGGCGCTGAGCCCCTGCCTGCTCGCAGGACGTGCACCATGGGAACGGGACCCAGCAGGCCTTCTACAGCGACCCCAGCGTCCTCTACATCTCGCTGCATCGCTACGACGACGGCAACTTCTTCCCGGGCAGCGGGGCGCCCGACGAGGTACCGGGCCCCGTGGGTGTGCAGGGCTTTCCCAGGCCCAGGCAGGGCGCCGGGGCCGAGGGGCAGGTGCGGAGACGCTCGCCCATCAGAAGCAAGGCTGCCCCTCGCGGAAGCCCGGAGGCGACGTGAGGCCTGAACCCCGCCCTGCGTGTGCACGGCAGCTGGATGTGTGTGACATGCAGATGGGAGCCCAGGACCATGTCTGTCCCGGCTGGGCAGACGGCTGTGTCCCTGTGCGGGCAGCAGGTGCCCTCCGCCGCCGCAGCGTGTCTGCTGCACTGTCACCTGTGGTGCCCTGAGCCCCGGCCAAGCCCGCCCTCCCTCTGAGCAGAGGCCCCGTGGGGGGATCCCACCCGAGGAAGCAGCTCGCCCGCCTCCCGATCTTCTTTCCCAGAGGAAGTCGAAAGGGCAGCCCCCTGCAGGCACGTCCTGGTGGCCTCTGCTGCCTGGGTGTCACAGTGCAGAACTGCAGGCCTCCGGGCCGAGGGGAAGGGCAGCCCCACTGCACCCACCGGTCAGGTGGACGGGAGCCCTGAGCCCGTGAAACCGTGTTGTCATCCAAGTCAGTGAGCCAGGGTAGTGGGGACCAGTGACACACCCATGAGGAGCATCCCCAGCTCTGCTGCTGGCCACCAGGTGCTCCGTCCAGGGCCTGACAGGTGTTTCTCTCCTTTGCACAGGTGGGCACAGGGCCAGGTGTGGGCTTCAATGTCAACATGGCTTTCACCGGTGGCCTGGACCCCCCAATGGGAGACGCAGAGTACTTGGCAGCCTTCAGGTATGTGTCCTGATGTCCTGTCCAAGGGCATTTAGGGACCTCTCGGGACCCCACTCCTATGTCCCAGTTCCTCTGGCTTTGGCCCTCACTTTCCTTCACGAGACCCAGACCCGCCTGGCAGAGGACCCTGCAGTCGGAAGTTCCCGGCACTGCATGTGGAGGGCCGCCCTCTAGGCCCGGCGCAGGGCCTGTCCGCTGCACCCCCGGGCCCCGGGCTCAGTGCAGGTGGGTGTTCGTGAAAAGCGGGTGCTCAGATCTGGAAGGCTGCAGTCTCCTGACTTGGCTTCCAGAATCCTCTGTGAGAAGATGGGAGACAGAAATAAATCTCCCTCCTTTACGGGTCGCGGGAAGGGCTCCCTGTTCTTGGGTTTGTGTTTACTCTGGGCCCTGGAATCCAGCCACCGGGGAGCACCCCCATCCGGCGTTGGCTTTCGTCGTCAAGGGTGGTTTCTGCCTTCATCTGGGTCAGACGAGTCATTCCCCCGGCACAGGTGGCTCCTGTCGACTTAACAAAGGCAGGACGAGGAGGAGGAGGTGGGGGTGCTCGGGAGGGGAGTCGCTCGGTGGTGAAGGCTGAGCCCTCAGCCTGTCAGGAAGTCCAGGAGCTGGTGCCCGGAGCCTTTCCAGCGCCTTTCCTCCGGCGGCTGTGCGTCCACGCCCACGCCCACGGAGGGCACGTGGAGAGCTTGGCTGCGGGTCACACGGCCCTGGCAGCTCCCCTCTGAGCGGGGTGGTCTGTGGACACAGGAGGCAGGTGGCCCTTAGGAGGCCTGCCCTGACTTCCCGAGTCCCTTTCCCTTCGGGCTCGTCGGTAACTTCACGTTTCTTCCTACTCCGTGGGGTGCGAGGGGTGTGGATAATCACCCTGCCGGATGTAAGAGAGAAGCGGGCCTCGTACACAGCATCTGAAGATGCGCTCGTGTCCACGGTTAAATGTCAGCTTCGTGGCGTCTGAACCATGGGCGCCCACCCCGTGTCGCCGCCCGTGCAGAGCAGCATCTTGGCGTTGCCCTCACCTCCCGCCTGAGAACCAACCCCCTCAGGAGGCTCCGTGAGAAAGAAATGTCCAGTTGTGCTGTGAGGGGCGTGGACAGTGCTCAAGTGAATGTTGGTGCCACTTGGGGCCTAGGGCACAACACGGCCAAAATCTGGTGTGGCACAGGGCAGAGGGCAGAGCAGTCCCGGGCAGAGGGCAGAGGGCAGAGCAGTCCCGGGGCAGAGGGCAGAGGGCAGAGCAGTCCCGGGGCAGAGGGCAGAGGGCAGAGCAGTCCCGGGCAGAGGGCAGAGGGCAGAGCAGTCCCGGGGCAGAGGGCAGCGGTCCCGGGCAGAGGGCAGAGCAGTCCCGGGCAGAGGGCAGAGCAGTCCCGGGCAGAGGGCAGAGGGCAGAGCAGTCCCGGGCAGAGGGCAGAGGGCAGAGCAGTCCCGGGCAGAGGGCAGAGCAGTCCCGGGGCAGAGGGCAGAGGGCAGAGCAGTCCCGGGCAGAGGGCAGAGGGCAGAGGCAAGTGCAGGGCAAGAGCCAGGCAGATGGCAGAGGCAGTCCCGGGCCAGAGGACAGAGGCAGTCCCGGGGCAGAGGGCAGAGGCAGAGCATCCCGGCAGAGGGGCAGAGGGCAGAGCAGTCCCGGGCAGAGGGCAGAGCAGTCCCGGGGCAGAGGACAGAGGGCAGAGCAGTCCCGGGCAGAGGGCAGAGCAGTCCCGGGCAGAGGGCAGAGGGCAGTGGTCCCGGGCAGAGGGCAGAGGGCAGCGGTCCCGGGCAGAGGGCAGAGGGCAGTGGTCCCGGGCAGAGGGCAGAGCAGTCCCGGGCAGAGGGCAGAGGGCAGAGGGCAGCGGTCCCGGGCAGAGGCTTGAAGTGCTGAGAACTGGGTATTTTCCTTCTCAGACCGTTAGGGTCAGGTCGACTGGGCCAGCCCTTGGGCACGAGTCAGTGTCCTGGGCACTTGACCCTGGGCGGCGTGCCGTCACCTCCGGTGGCACTGCGTGGTGGCGGGCGGGCGGGCGGGCGGGCCCTGGCCGCCGTCCCTCGGCCAGCCTTCCCTCGGCCAGCCTTCCCTCGGCCAGCCTTCCCGATGAACCTTCCCTCGGAGCAAAGCCGACCTTCCGTTTCATCTCCTGCCAAGTGTGTACATGATGATACCTTATCAAATGGGCTTTTTAAAGCCTAAATAGCTTCTTTGAAAAGGAAAATTGTTTCAGGCTTTTTTTTATTGATTTTAATGTAAAATAGCACTTTGAAGTTTGCGATTTATGGTTCCCTGGGCATTGATCGAAGCGGGGAGAGGGTCAGGATCCGTTCGCCCCTTTCTTCTGTGCCGCCCCCTTGGGGCCCGCGGACGGTGCATGCCTCCGGGGGGCCGTGTCCTTAGCCCGCCTGCCACGTTGCATTTCAGGAGATCAAGCCCACGACGAGGAAGAGATAAGAGAACGGCCCTAATGAAACCCAGGAGCGGCGGGCTCTCTCCTGGGGTGGGAGGCTCGCGGGGAAAGGGCTAATTCAAACCAGCGGGCGAGGCTTTGAAGTTTCCGGGGGCTGAAGACCTGCGCTGGAGAGGCGGTGGCGACTCCTCGGCCCCCGCTTACCTGCGGCTGGCTGCCGAGCGGGCCACCTGTTCGTCCGCAGTGAGGGCGTGGGCTGGCAGCTTGTGGTGGGTTCCGTGTGGCATCGTGTCGGAGGTGGCACGGGACCTGCACGTCCACGCTGCTGACCCCAGTGACCGGTGAGCAGGAGGCTGGGCAGGGTCACGTCTCCTTCCCCGCCTTCCAGGCAGGCGTGCGGTTGAGACGTCTCCGTGGTGTTAGTCCGCGAGCTGTGCTTTGCTTTCTGTTATCGGGCGAAGTATCCTTGAGACCCCGCGTTCTCTCCACGTCTTCAACATGTCTCTGAATTTTAATTTTTTTTTTATTTATTTTTTATTTTTTTAGAAAAGAGGAAGGGAGGGAGAGAGAGAAACACAGGTGAGAGAGAAACATGGATCGGCCGCCTCCCGCACACCCTCACTGGGGATCCAGCCCGCAACCCGGGCATGTGCCTGGGAATCAAACCAGGACCTCTCAGTGTGTGGACGACGCTCAGTCCACTGAGCCATACCGGCTGGGAATGTCCCTGAATTTTATCTTAGGACATTTTATGGTGATTTTATTAGTAAAGATGTAAGCTGGAAACTCAGAGGTGGGCTACCTCGTGTTCAGCCGGCCTTCCTTTTACCTGCCCTGGGCTGCAGTGGGATAGAACAGGGGGTCCTCGCGGTGCCTGCCCCTCAGGTGGCTCAGATGGGGACCACAGGGCTGCAGCAGGTGGTGCAGCCACTGAGGCGGGTGCGTGTACCGTGCCCACTCACAAGTCCTGCAGGAGTGAGCTGGCACAGGTGCTCACCTGCCCGTGCATGGCCACCTCCAGGGGCTCTGACCAGGTGAATGGAGCAGTGTGTTCTGCATGACTGACAGCCGTCTTGTGCAGTTTGGTGACAGAGTTGGTTCCTGGATGGGTGGACTGCACTAGGTCCCACGGACAAGCCCAGGGAAGGACAACCCTGACCAGGATGGGGCATAGGGTGGGAGGGGCCATCTCAGGAAATACTGGTGATGAGATAGAGCTGGGGTGGGAGGGGTCCATCGAGGTGTCAGGTGCGGTGGAGGAGGGTGGGAATACTGCAGAGAACCAGGAGGAGCAGGTCTGGGTTGGCTGGAGGGTGGTGCATCTCAGGGAGACGTAGGCTCGGAGGTGAGCCCCGGTGGGGAAGCTGGGCCCTGACCAGAGTAAGGCTGGGACCAGAAGACAGCAGGGGGTGCTGAGGCAGAGGCCGAGACCAGCTTCGAGCAGCGAAGGGCCCTGGCCGTGGAGGGGCCTTGGGAACGATGGCAGTGGGGCTGTGAGCCATGGGGGAGGTCGTGCGTGGGTCCCAGGCCTGCCGTCGTGAAGACGGGCGGGCTGTGGGGAAGTCCGCAGAGCAAGGAGAGGCAGGGAGGGGAAGTCAGAGGGACAGGGGCCCAGGGAAGGTGCCCCTGCACCTCCACAGTGGCTGTGAGGAGGGGGAGGGGGGTGCCCACCTCCACCGTTGGTCTCTGGGAGGTGGAGAGGCTGAGCGCTGCCCTGGTCCCAGAGCGTGAGGGGGGACCTCGGGTGCAACACCCAGGACCTAGGGGGCAGGTGTGGGGAGACCTGGTCTTCTCAGACCTGCCTCAGGGTCCAGGTGTGCCTGGCCACCTGTGCGCCATCTCTGGCCGCAGTGCCCGCCGGTGAGTGGGAGCGGGACTGGGCCGAGGGCTTCACGGCCGGTGGCAGCCAGGCCAGAGCAGCTGGGCCCCATCATTTCTACACTCTGATTCCGACTCTCAGCAGAGCTCGGGCACTTGGTGGACAGGTGCTTGCGCGGCCCACTGCCGGTGCAAACCGGATTTCGGAGGCTCTCTCAAAAGCTATGACCCATGGCACCGAAGCACAGCTGCCTGGCACTGAGGCACGCCGGGCACAGGGCCAGGCTCCAGATGCCAGCGCCAGCGCCAGCACCTTCCTCAGCAAGAGTGCGCTCGGCGTGCGAGAGGGGTTTCGCCCTGGCTGGTGTGGTGCAGTGGCTAGAGTGTCGGCCCGTGGACCAGAGTCGCGGGTTTGATTCTGGTCAAGGGCATGTACCTCGGTTGCAGTTTGTTCCTGGCCCTGGTAGGGTCATATGGGAGGCAGCCAGTCGATGTGTCTCTCTCCCTCCCCACCTCCCACTCTATCTGAAGACAGAGAAATGTCCTTGGGTGAGGAGTAAGAAAAAAGTGGCAGGGAGGTCCCATCGCACATGCGGAGCTGTGCCCCTGGGCGCCCTGCCCTGTGCTCTCGGCTGTGCCCCTGGGCGCCCTGCCCTGTGCTCTCGGAGCCCCAGAGCCAGGGCTCACTGCGGGGCTTCAGGCCCCCTGGGGCTCAGCAGTGCTGGCCCGGTCACCAGCCCCTCACCCTGGACCCTTTCCTCCGCTGAGGGGCACGCCACAGACGGACACTGCTCTCAGACACCCCCGTTCTCCCTCCAGCAGGGCTGGGAGCCTTTTTCCAGGGCCCTTTGGATATTCATAACATCATTCATGGCCCATACAAGATTGTCACCTTAAAGACGAGCCTGCTCTCTGGTCGGGCTGATTTGATGTGTGATGGGAGCAGTATCGGCACGGGGACGTTCCCCACCCCTGCGCGGACTCCCAGCACACCCCTCTCTGCCTCCAGGTTGCAGTGCAAAACGGGACCCCGTAGACACCCCATAAAGTGGCGGAGTGAGAGACCTGCAGCAAATCCTCAGGTCTTAGTAATTTCGTGGACGAAGTTTATTGACATTCTGTTCTAGAAGTGAGATGCGAGGCGGCTGGCCCTTTTCCTGCAGCTCCTGTGACCCTGCCACCTGCCTCCTCATCCAGAGGGAGGGGAGAGTCTGTGCGATTCACTCCAAGTCCCATGAAACGGGCTGAGTGGCAGGCGGCCCTGCTCGGCTGCTGGCGGGGTGTGGAGCGGGCGCGGGTGCACGGGGCGCACGGCCTGCTTCCGCTGCCGGCTCCAGGTGGTGGGTCGTGTTCGGAGTTTCTTCCCTTTCAAGCCAACCAGTTCCTTGTTTCTCTGATGTAACTTAACCCCCAAAGCTCTCGGTGTGTTTTTAACTATCAATTCTCATAAATGTGACCATCAGTTTTCCCTCTAAAAATCTTGAGTGCAGAATTTTTATAGCCGATGCAGCAGCGTTGCAGGGGTGTGTGGTCCTCTGATGCTGGCATGCCTGTGGGCGAGCGGAAGGGGGCAGGAGGGTGCCCTCAGGGCCAGGGCTGCCCAAGGGCCCTCCCAACTCCTTGTCCACACGCAGCCTTGGGTCCTGGTGCTGGGCCGTGCTGCACCCACCTGAGTCAGGGCCAGTGTCAAGCGAGCAGAGGGGCGAGCAGAGCCGCCGCGCCTTTGGGGAGGACCTGGGCAGCTCTAGCAGTGGCCCCACTGCCTCTGCAACTGTGCTGGGGTCACAGCACCCTGCCTCCGGAGCCACCCATGTGCAGCGGGCACCGAGCATTTAGCGTAGACTTCCTAAGACGCTGAGACGTGCCCGCTGTCGGACTGCAGCTCCCATGGCGCGCTCAGCCGCTGGCCGTGCAGCATGTCCTCGGCCACGTCAGCGTCGTTTCCTCCTCCTCTTTGCAGAACGGTGGTCCTGCCGATCGCGAGCGAGTTCGCCCCCGAGGTGGTGCTGGTGTCGGCAGGCTTCGACGCCGTGGAGGGCCACCCCACGCCCCTGGGCGGCTACAACCTCTCCGCCAAGTGTAAGTTGGGTGTGCAGGGTCCTACCTGGGCCCCCTGTTTTTGTCAGGGGTGCACTCTGTCGCACGCTCCCCATCAATGACGATAGGACACGTTCCTCACCTCACCAGACCTGACGTGCTGGCAGGCCCCAGGAAGCAGGGGGCCGGGCGCTGTGGACAGGAGGCACGCAGCTGGGAGCGTGGGTGCCTCGGGCCACTCTCCAGCCACCTGAGCGCTGGGCCTTCTGCCTGCTCTTCGTCCCTGACGTCGCTATGCTGAGGGAGGAGCCCGAGCAGGTCCGGCAGAGTCGGAGGGAACGGGGCCCAGGTCACCGGCTGGTCTAGGATTCGTGTTGAGTGACAGGAGGGACTATGGAAACCGCCCTGCCACAGGCAGGGGTTGGCCTCTGCTGCCACAACCAGTCAGGCCACAGAAAGGCCCGGGCGCCCTCAGCCCTGCCACCTCCGCCCACCACTGTGGTTGTCAAGGCCCCTGGGCCCACCCAGGGCTCCCTCAGAGCCCTTCGTGCTGGCCTGGGGGCACAGATGGCCGAGGAGAGCCTGTCTGTCCCTCCCGCAGGGAGAGTGTGGGTCACCAGAGAAGAAGGGGAACAGGACAGCCAGGGCAGGCCACGCTCAGGCCTCAGATCCGCCGCAGCCCAGGGTACGGTCCAGGGCCGGGGAAGGATCAGGCTAAGCTTCCCCGGGTGGTTCCGCGGCAGCCTGGAGGCCCGCATCCCTGTGCCCACCAGAGACAGACCGAGGGTTTGGGTGGCCACGGCTCCCAGTGCCCGGCGGGCGGCGGGCGCCCACCAGCACGGTGGGTTCTCACCTGCTCGTCGATGGACGCCAGGCTGCTCTGGCCCAGACTGGTCGTCATCACCCATCGGGGCATCTGCCTAGGAGGGCGACGTGGGTGCAGCAGGGAGCACGGCTGCTGACGGAAGCCAGACGCTGCGGACAGGATGTCAGCCCTGGGCACACGTGATGTGCTGGAGGGTGTGCGTGTGCCCAGAGCCCCGGGCACACGTGATGTGCTGGAGGGTGTGCGTGTGCCCAGGGCCCTGGGCCTGGGGATGGACACGCGGGCCTGGAGGCTGCCCAGCTGCCCTGCCCTGGCCTCTGGTCCCCATGTGAGAGCTGAGGCTCCTACCTCGGCCCCTCCCCGTCCCCCAAACGGGGTGATTTGCGGCATTATGAAATCAAAGCACTGAAACCATAATTCCTGCTCTCACACAGATCAAACAGGATCCCAAACCGAATTCCTCGATGAATTTATGTGATTGGGCCTGGCTTCCATTATGCACACAGCGTGCCAGCCCCGGGGTCTGTGACGTGATGTAATGCGTCTCTGGCGCTTTGATCTGCTGCCAGCCTCGGCCCACGCCGCCTGCCCTCCACGTGCATCTCCCGTCTCCCATTGCAGGTTTCGGCTACCTGACGAAGCAGCTGATGGGCTTGGCTGGCGGCCGGATCATTCTGGCCCTGGAGGGGGGCCACGACCTCACGGCCATTTGCGACGCCTCAGAAGCATGTGTTTCTGCTTTGCTGGGAAACGAGGTAGGAGGACAGGAGGGCCCTGCGTGCGGGCTCGGCCCAGGCGGCGTGGGCCCTCCACGGCGTCCCGCTGGGTGTTGGCTGTCCCCCAGGCGGCATGGGCCCTCCACGGCGTCCTGCTGGGAGTTGGATGTCCCCCCCCCGCACCGAGCAGGCGCACATCTGACAACGCTGCTCGACTGGCCGTGAGGCTGTGAGCTAAAGGGTCATCGCCCTTTCTCTCAGGTGGTTTGGGACCCTGTATTTTGAAGGTGCTCATCTTCATGGTTGAGTCCTCTGGAGAGGACTCGGTTTCCCCTTCAGAGACCGTCATTCGGGTTCTAGGGCAGGATCCCACGTGGTGTCGCTGTGCGGGTCTCGGACACCCAGGGCCGGCTCTGCAGGGTGGCCCCCCAAGGCCCCCAGCAAGGACACGCAGGGGCCGCCCAGAGGGTCCCGGTGTCTGGGCCCGGGAGGGAGCTTCCGAGGTTGGAGGAGAGAGCGTCCCAGGGACTGGATGGTGTCCAGCCCACTGAGCGTCTGAACTTCCCGAAACTTGAAACCCACACACAGGCCTTTGGATATGGGGTCAGGGCCAGGATCCCCAAGTGCAGCTCTCCCTTGTTGCTGTGATGTCACACGTGGGTCCTAGGAACAACCTGGCTGGTGTTTGGGGAGCTTGGTGGGGGCCCGAGATCACAGGCCGATCGCACGGGGAGGCGCCCGGGCCCCAGTGTGCCAGGCACAGGGAAGCCTCTGCCGGACAAGGCCCCTGGCGGGCACGTCAGCTCTGCCTTCCTGCTGTCCCCCGGGGCTCCCCACCCCCAGCCCACGAGGTACAGGGCCCCTGGCGGGCACGTCAGCTCTGCCTTCCTGCTGTCCCCCGGGGCTCCCCACCCCCAGCCCACGAGGTACAGGGCCCCTGGCGGGCACGTCAGCTCTGCCTTCCTGCTGTCCCCCGGGGCTCCCCACCCCCAGCCCACGAGGTACAGGGACACCCCTCCGCTGGGTCAGGGCGACCTGGGTGTCCAGCTGGGGCACCGTCCCCACACCCACCTGCCTTGGTCCACACCAAGAGGGCAAGGCTCCTGCTTGGGCCGTCTCGTGCACAGTGCCCTGGTGAGGGTGCTGCCCGTGGGGCCGTCCCAAACGGTCTGACCCTGTGAGGCGGAGAGCCAGCGGGGCCATCCTGGCCAGGCCTGGGCTGCCCGTCTCGCCCCCACCAGGGAAACAGCTGGCAGGGCCGCGAGGCGCGTGGGCGCAGAGGGCTCGAGCAGGGGCTCCAGCTCCAGCTGGGCCTGACGGGAGTGATGCCCACTGTGCCCACTGTATTCTGCACCTTCCCTGTGCCCTGCGGGGACTGGCACAGGGTGGGCTGTGGCAGGAGGAGAGGTGCAGTGTCCTGCCAGGCACAGGGGCAGATGACGGGCACGTGGAAGCCAAGGTGAGGTCTCACCCAGGGCCAGCCCAGCCCAGCTAGTGTGACAGTGACCTGATGGGGGGTGTCCTCCCTGCGAGATGGCTCGCTGAGGTGAGCCGGGCAGGCAACCCTGGGCAGTGGGCACCCGGGAGGAAGGCCGTGGCTCTGTCTGCCCACTCGGGCCACTGCTGAGAAGGGTGGACTGGTGAGCACAGTCCTAGGGGCAGGTGGCACCCAGCACCTTCCTGGGGCTGCAGTCATGGTGGGGCTCAGGCTGCAGGGGAGAGCAGCGTGGTCCCAGCTCCCGGAGAGTTTTAACCACGTGGCCACGGTGCTCCAGCCCAGCCCCACCCCTGCCCGCTTGCTGGGCGTGGATGGTGGGTCTGTCCTGTCCTGTCTGGTCCTCCAGTCGGCCGTGTGCTGAATGTCCCCAGGGAAATGCCTCTGCTTTGCCTGGTGTCCACAGCGTCTCAGCTACACCTTCTGACATGAAACAGTCCTCCCTGCTGGTTAAAGTCTTCAGCCCGTCCTCAGCCTTCTCGATTCCTTAGTCATTTCAAGTAGCAGTAGAGAGCTGAGCTCAGCGAGGGCCCTTCCCTCTCCTGCTCCTCTCCCTCTTCAAGCGGAAAGCCGCCTCCACTCACCTCCCAGGGCAGGAAGCGCGGCTTCGCGAGGCCTCGTACAAATCTCCCTAATGCAGCCCTGCAGGCCTTTGATGAGGGTTGATGGACGGCGTGCTGGGCGGCTTGGCGCGCACAGCGGGCAGCCAGCTGTGGCCAGCGAGGCAGCCTGGTGGGTGGCTCCGGGAGAGGGGAGCAGGGCCTCTGCTAGGGACCAGCGCCGCCTCAGCCCACGGTGCCCCGGGCCTTTCACTAAACAGCTCAGCTTCCTGCGGCGACAGCTGGCAGTGAAAAGTCGCTTACGCGTGTTGCAGGAGGGGTGTAGGCAGAGGTGAGCAGGGGCCTCCGGGCAGGTGGGGCCAGCGTTCTCATGTCACCCAAGGGCAGCGTTTGGTTTGGGCCAGTTTTCTGTCTAATCGTGTGGCACGTTGGGGTCCAGTGCCACCTCCTCATTCAGCCCACTCTGGCATCAGCGGAGGAGTCCCGGGGCGTCAGGTCCGCCGTCGTGCTGGGGGAAGAGGGTGCCCTGGGGGCGTAGTGACTTCTCCGTGCTACACTTTGTGAAGGGGCAGCTGTGGCAGCACAGCGATCGGACCAGTGTGTGTGAGTGTCTGAGCACACAGGCATCAGGCTGGGAGCCGCGTCTGCTTCTAGTCAGCCATCTCCCCTCACGTGCACGCGCACACACACACACACTCATTCCTGCTTGCACATACATTCGCCGTGCTCGCATACCCAGGCATGCTTGCACATGTACACATTCATGTGAGTTTATGCATGCTTAGTCATATTTGCACACCCACCGTCATGCTTGTACATGCAGTCAGGCTTGCACATGTTTGGTCATGCTTGCACCTGTTTGCAGTCATGCTCATGCACACAGCCATGCTCATGCACATACACAGTCATGCTTACACATGGACACACTCATGCATGCTTACACACGGACACACTTCTGGCCAGCAGTGGCTGTGGTTCAGTTACATGCAGGCCCGTGGTGGGGACACAGGGTGGGCCCAGGGCACATTCGTCTGGTTTAGGACTGTGGGTGCCTCCTGGGTCCTTGCTGATGACCCTCGGGAGGTAGGCCCTGGCCCCATCAAGGTGAAGGAGCTGCACCTGCACGCGGCCCTCCACCCCGTCATCGGTTCAGTGGGATGTCGGGGTGCCATGACAACTGGCCCTCCTGGGCTCCCTCTCTCAGACGGGTGAGAGACGTCTTATTTGCCAGCCACCTGGCTCAGCAGGGGCAGCTCGCAGTGGAGACCAGGGTGTCCTCTCGGGCCCTGTCCCCACTTGCCCGGCAGGTTCTGTTATGTTGGGCACTGACCGCCAAGCTCCCACTGTGGGTCCCAGCAGCCTGAAACTCCGTAGTCACAGTGCTCAGCTTGATGACTGGTCTTTTTCTTTTTCTTTTTTTTATTTATAAATACCTCATTGTCTTCCAAGAGGCAACTACAAAAGTACTAGACACTGCCCGGCTGGTGTGGCTCACTGGCTGAGCGTCGACCCTGCACCAAGAGGTCGCTGGTTTGATTCCCCATCAGGACACACGCCCAGGTTGTGGGCCCGATCCCCAGTGCAGGGCGTGCAGGAGGCGGCCAGTCGATGTTCTCTCTCGTCCATGTTTCTGTCTCTCTCTCCCTCTCGCTTCCTCGCTCTCTAAAGCCAATAAAGGAAGAAATACATATATATAAGACAGGAGAGCTGGGAAGCCAAGCTGGAGTGTAACTTCCAGCTACAGTATCTTTGTTCGGAATGTGTTTCTGCCCCTTTCCTCTGTCCCCTCCTTTCTCTGGGCTGCTTGTTCCCCTGGCCACGTCCAGCACAGTGCTGCATCTCACACATGGACACGTGGCATTTTCAATATTTTTTAGTTCTAAGCATTTCTTCTTTTTTGTTATGATTCTTTCTGTGACCCATGATTGGTGTGTTTTTTAATTCCTGGCCACAAGGGCTCATGGTTCTTTGTTACCAATTTCTAACAGATTGCATTGTGGGAAGAAAAGGCGCCCGGTGAGCGGCTGTCTTGGTGGGGACCGCACTGTGGCTGGTGCGTGGCCACGCCGCACAGACATGCGCGTGTGTGGAAGTGGGTATCTGGTCGTGGACTTCGTGGATGTCCACTGAGCCAAGCTTGCTGATCACGTCGCCCACATCGGTTTCCTCTGTTGACGCCTGTCTGCTCCGTCTAGGAAGGACGCTCAAGTCCCCCTGTGGTGGCACATCTCCCCACGTCTCCTCCTAGATCCATCAAGTTTACCTTACACATTTTCAAGTAATTTTCCTGAATATGTACAGATTTTAAATCTTCATATCTTTGGATGAATTAAAAAATTTTTTGAGAGAGTAGGAGGGAGAGGGGAAGGAGGAGAGGAAGAGAAAAACATTGATGTGAGAGAGAGACAAAAAACTGGTTGCCTCCCGCTCGTGCCCTGACCAGGGCTGGGGATCACACCTGCAATCCAGGTACATGCCCTTGACCAGGAATCGAACCCCAAACCCTTTGGTCTGCATGCCGATGCTCTCACCACTGACCACACCAGCCAGGCTGAACTGACATTGTTATCACAAAGCTCAGTTAACTCTGTCGTACCTCATACTGGTGCCGCAGCCTCCCCCGCCCGACGTCGCGTACCCAGCACGCGGGGGACCTGTCACCTTTCTGTCTAGTACCACAGTGTGCCTCGGGGACTTTGGTTGTGCGTTGTTTGGTTTGGTTTGGATTCATTTCCACCTTCTCTGCGTGTGTCCCTGTCTGTGGCTCTCTCTGTCCTGCCCGCTCTCAGCAGGACTGGGACTCCCCGACTCGGTCGCCCCTCTCCTGATGGGACTCCCCGACTCGGTCGCCCCGCTCCTGACGGGGAGGGTGTAGCCGATTGCAGTTTCTCAGTCAGGACCCTTAAAAAATGTCAGTGTGTGCCTTTGACGAGGTCAGTGACCTCACCCTCCCTGTGCAGCCAGGGTCCTGGCAGGTCTGCCATGGGGGTGTCGCCGATTAAATGCAGGACACCCAGGTGGGCACACTTGGAACAACTCACTCATCAGACAGTTCGTGTAACATGTCTGTGTGCTTGTTTGTACACAGAGCCCCAGCTCCTCCCGAGTTCTCTGCAGTTTGGGGGATTATGTCTGTTCCTCTCCCTGTCTCACTGATTGGGCATCACTGTGACCGCCCTGCAGCCCTGTCTGTCTGTCCATCCTGCGCTTAAGCGGCTCTCTGCCTCGTTCCTCGGCCATTGGGTTGTTTTCATTCTGCCTTCAGCACAGCCCAGAGTTCCCGGGAGGGACTCGGTGCGGACCTTGTCGGTGTGTCATTTAAGAGTTTCACCCTCATTGTTAGGGTCTCGGGGTTTGTTCTTAGCTCTGCCCAGAGCCGAGACCAAGAACAAAACTGCCAACACTCGTCTGTGGCAAATCTGTGTGCGCCGGCCCGCCCCGGCTCAGCTCGGCTCGGGACGTCAGCCCAGGCCTGTCCCCAGCGAGTCTGATTGCCCGAGTGGGCCCCCCGGTTGTTGGTTTGTCCGGTTGTTGAGTTTACCGCCGTGCAGCCTGCAGGGCCCCAGTGGCCCTGGGTCCCCTGACTGTGCGGCCCCCTCTCCCGGCTGTGGCCCTTTCCCACCGTTACTAGAAGGCTGTGGCCGGTGAGCAGGCCAGCCTCCCGCTGGCACCGGGGCGGGAAGGGCTTTTCCCGGAAGTGATGGTCGCTCCCCGATCTGACCCTCCGGACACCGTCCGTCCTGCTCACGTGGGAGCCACGAGCACCCCGAGAGCCCCCTGAGGAAGACAGACCTACTTCTGTAAAAGTCCGGATAACAAGCCTCGAAGCCACATCCGGCGGAAGCTGCTCCTCGCTGTCAGCAGTGCGCTCGAGCCCCCGGTGCCCGTTGCAACTGCCGCTTCGTGGAGCTCGGGGGCGCTGCGTCTCCCTGCTCATCGTGCTGTCGCATGTTTTGCAGCTTGACCCTCTCCCAGAAAAGGTTCTGCAACAGAGACCCAATGCCAACGCCGTCCGGTCCATGGAGAAGGTCATCGAAGTCCACAGTGAGTCCCTGGCCAGGCCTCCCTGCCCTGTGCCCTCGCCCTGGGCTCCTCTCCGTGTCCCCGAACCTGCAGGACAGGCCTCGCTTCCAGCCAGACTTGAGCTGCTGGGGACCCTCACTGCACCCCCTCAGCTCCCCACACCCCACAGAAGAGCTGGGCTCACGGAGTCTGTGAAGCCACTAGGTCAGGTGGGCCGGAGCGTGAGCGGTGTCCTCACGTCTGGTCTCCCGGCCAGAGAACCCCACACACCTACAGACTCGGGCAGAGGTACAGGCCCCCATTTCCTAGCACTGCCCCTCAAACAGCAGGAGCTGAGGACCGAGGGCGCTGGCACACAGCCAGGCGGTGCCCATGCAGCACCCCTGTGTCAGGTGAGCTGGCAGTGCCCTGCCCTCATCACGTGCTCCGTTCGCCCTGGGTCTGTAGGGTGACCCAGTCCTGGAGACGGCCCATCTGGGTGGACGGAGCAGGGCCCTCGTGTTCTCTGCACGAGCGCCGGGTTGCTGGCCCTGGAGCTGTGCCCCGCCCTGCCGAGAAGCCCTCGGTGCCACGAAACACTGAGGCTGGCTCTGGGCCGTGTCCAGCCCCTGCATGTCCCCTCACATAGAGGCCCCGTAAGGACACAGCCATCATCTTGGAGGGTCCCGAAGGGAGCCCCTCAGCACTGGGTGACAGCCCCCCGTGCTCGCCTGCCCCCAGAGTCGGGAGGGCCCAGAGCCTGCTGGGCCCGCCCTGCCCCTTAACCCGCGCTCCCCCCCAGGCCGGCACTGGCGCTCCCTGCGGCGCCTCCCGCCCACCGCTGCCTACTCGCTGGTCGAGGCCCAGAAGTGCGAGAATGAAGAAGCCGAGACCGTCACCGCCATGGCCTCCCTGTCCGTGGGGGTGAAGCCCTCCGAGAAGAGGTGAGCCCCGCGGCGCCCCGGCGGCCAGCACTGCGCGGAGGGCGGCTCCTGTGTCTGGGCCCGAGGCTGATCCACGTTGGCCCTCGGAGGGCGTGGGGTGGGGGGCGATGTCCCTGTCCGACTCCAGCCCGGCCAGCGTGGCCACGTCTTTCCAGTGTGGAAGACCTTTGGAAGCCTTTGGGGAGCATTCACCCCCGAGCAGGTGGCCCCAGCGACACCTAGTCAGGAGCTGGGGGTCGCAGGCGGGCAGGCCGGTGGGGCCCAGTCTGTTGTGGGGCGGACAGCGGGCAGGGAAGGCCCCACAGTGCTGCCGCCGCTCACCCTCTGTCCGTCCTCTCCTGGCTGTCTGCTGCCCTCCCCGGCCACCCCGCAGGCCCGAAGAGGAGCCCATGGAGGAGGAGCCGCCCCTGTAGCCTCGCCGCCGTGGCGACTGTCTTACTTGTCTGTCTGTCTCGAAGCTCCGCCAAGACAAGCTCCTGTTTCTCTGCGTCCTGCCAGGGGTTCTCAGAACCGCAGGCGCACCAGGGGCCCAGACCCGGGTCTTACCGCAGGGCCACCTTGCAAGGGGCCCGGGACAGCTGGCGGGATGAGCAGACGGCAGCCAGGCACCAGGCTCCCTCGGCCCCTGCGGGTGGAAGAGGGAGGAAGCCTGCGGCAGCTCATGGCCGAGCTGCCCGACTTAGCTGGACCTACGAAGAGAAAATGCAAATCAAAGATCTAATAACACAACACAGACTTGATTAAAACTGGTGCTTAACGTTTGATGATTGATTACCCACAATTCCACAGTCTCCGTGTAAACCACTCATCTCGTAGCTTCTTTAGAGAGCGCACGCGAAGGCCCCGTGCTCCGAGCCGGGCAGCCCGCGGCGGGTGCGCAGCCGGTAGGACGGGGGACGCGTTTAAGGAAAAACTGGACAAAAGGAAGTGTGAGCCTGCAGGCCCGGCTTTGCTTGCTCAGAGCCGAGGGGAGACGTGAGTTTGTGCCTTTTTACCGCTCTGATGGGTTCTGTGCGGGGTCTTTGAAGTCGAGGAACAATGCCTTAAGAAAACAGACAATTGATGGACTGGCCTGGGCTGGGGGCTGGCAGTGCCCTCGGGCAGGAGGCCGTGCTGCCGTGCTGGCCGCTCCTTCGCCCTGTTGCTGTGGGGCAGAAGTGGAGGGTTCCCAAACGTGGCCAATGCTGTTGGGGGTTTTGAAGTCCAACAAATTTTAAATGAATCCAAAGTGTTCTTTTCTCAGACATCCCATAACAATCAAGCATCTCCATTGGTCGTGAAGCATGTCCAAGGCACACTCAGTGTTACGGTGGGAATGCTTTTTATTAAAAGCAAGTAGCATGAAGTATTGCTTAAATTTTAGGTATAAATAAATATATATATGTATAATATATATTCCAATGTATTCCAAGCTAAGAAACTTGATTCTTACGAAATCTTGATAAAATATTTATAATGCATTTATAGAAAAAGTATATATATATATATATGTGTGTGTGTGTATATATATATATATATATTAAATGCAGATTGTAAGGGTCCCTAGCGAGAGAATGACTTGTGAATTAGCTATCAAGGTGCTTATGGAAAGGGACCTCGTTGGAAACTCATGGATTTCGACGCCCAGGCTGGACTGTGTCAGGTCACCAACACATTCGCCACTGGCGGCCACCACAAGTGTGTGCTTTCGTTTAATTACTTTCCAACAGAGCCCTCTCCCACTCCACACCTCCACGCACCTGTTACCTAATGAGTTTTTATAGCAAAGAATATAAATTTGCTGTTGATTTTTTTATGAATTTTTCACAAAAAGATCCTAACTAAGCATTGTTTTGTGAATTTCACATTTTTTCTCACCATTTAGTGGTTTTCTGAATGGTACTATTGTCTAAATCTTTTTCCTTTCTAAATTCTTGCTTGTACATTTTTTAACTTTCAAAGGTGTTTTTTGTTGTTTTCATTGTTGTTTGTACAGCGAGCAGTTTCCGTGGCGCGCAGACCCGTCGCCACCGGTCTGTTTTCAGACAGAGCGTCCCGTGAGCGGCAGGCCCGGCGCTCCCTGCCACGCCAGCACTGCGGGGTGGCGTGGAGAGGTCACGCGTGACACTGAGCTGGGCGGGTTGCCAGACACCACTGGCCATCAGCTTTCATGAAACTTTCATTTAAACTTCTGACCACGTCGTCAGACTAGGATTTTAGCTTCAGTTTTCCAAAGACCTTCCAAGCATGTCAGCAATGCATGGCCCGGCACGCCCGGGTTTCTGCTGCAGCCACGTGGCCCTGGCCCTCGCTGCCTGGCCAGCCTGCGGGACACCAGCCCCAGCGGGACAGCCGCCTTCGCTCCTTTTCTCTGACAGAAGCTGAATGCCTCTTTTACTGGTAACTGATTTCTCAGCACTTGAAGCCGATTTCATTCCAAAGTGCATTGAGTTCAGACCTGGGGAGGAAGTCAGACGCATTGCGCCCACGGGAGGGTCCCCCACCGCGTTTCTGAGTTTAGTGACATTTACAGGGTAGCTTCTGAGAGAGCCACTGACATGGTCGGGTGCTGGCCAAATGAATCCCAGTTCTTGGATCAGCTTGGTCCTCGAGATGCTGTTGGTCAGGTCCGGGGCACGGTCAGAGAGCAGGACAGGAATCGGAGGGTACGTTTGACTCTTCCCTACTGGCCGCTCTGCACTGAGGCCCACTTGGCAGATCCGTCCCCAGCATGGTGCAGAGCCGTGGCAGGGCCCCCCGGGGACTCTGGCCTGCTCAGCCCCTTCACGAGATCACTTGGGGATGCCCTGCCCCTGCCAGCCCGGGCCCTTGGGAAGGAACTCGTCATCTGACATTTTTACAGATGATGGGACGCACGACCTCTCGGTGGCCACAGTCTCCCTGGGGATTTGCTTCTGCTCTCACAGAGACCCTCAGACGGCCTGGCCGGGGCCTGTTCACTGTCACGTGCGGGAAGCGTTGCCGTGTAGCCTTTCTTTCTGCGAAGACGCTCGGCCCCTCTGCACGGCCACGTCCAGGGCAGACGGTGGAGGGCCTGCCGAGGAGGGCAAGACCCACCCACCTCTCTGGTCTTGAACCTTAGCCTTTTTCTTCCTTTGCCAAGGCCTTGGGGCACGGCTGGGAGCACTTTGTGTCCCTTCGAGGGAGACCCTGTGGTGCCACGGGGCTCATGGGGGCCGACAGTGTTAGCCTGCCCCGCGGTCTTCCTGCCGCAACACGTCTGAGCCCCACCAGCAGGCGGCCTTCTGGGACCGCGCCCGGCTTCCCAGGGCCACTTTGTCAACATGTTTCGGTTTTTGTTTCTTTCTTCCTTTTAAAAGTCTGTTCCCAGTGGAAAGACCGTTTGTACCGGTCTGACGTGGCGAGTCCGGGTTGGCGGCACCAGCCTTGGCGTTGGTGGTTGCGGTTTTCCATCAGGACATTCCTTCTTGCCCGGCCACGCCACGTGCTCATTCCTTTCTTCTTTTTGTAGACTTTTGGGCCCACGTGTTTTATGGGCATTGATACATATATAAATATATATATAAATATATATGAATCTATTTTTTTAAGCTTCCTACACCCGGAGGTTGCATGACTGGACGGCTGGCATGTCTTTACATTGTACACGGATTTGCACGCCGCACCCGGCAGCTTGGGGAGCAGAAATGCCTTTGCTCCCCTCTCGTGACATTTGCTCATTCGGAAGATGGAGTTTTTCTGTAACAGAACAAGCCCTTGCAGGAGGGGGGCGTTTGCGTCTTATTGAACTTATTCTTAAGAAATTGTACTTTTTATTGTAAGAAAAATCAAAAGGACTACTTAAACATTTGTCATAAGAAAGAAAGTTTATCGAACACTTGTGACATACCCATAATAGAGTTTATTGTATTTATGTGGGAACAGTGTTCTGGGGAGCTGCACCGAACTCACGGGAACCGCTGTCTGTCCATTTGGTTCGGAGGGATTTTGTTTTCTTTGGTTTCCTTTGTTTCCTTTATCTTCTTGCACCGGGCAGGCCGGCGGGGCTGCCCTCCCGGCCCTGGTGACCGCGTGTCCCGCCGGGGACCGGGGGGCCCCAGAGCCTCTCTCCGCGCAGCCGCGCTGGCGTTTCTATTCCTTGTAGATGACGCATGGCTGAGACGTCACTTTCAGCTCAGCCATCGTGAACTGTGAGCACTGTGGTTTCAGATTCTCCTTTGCACCGAAAGGAAACCATTTCTTCCTTGTAATGAAGCCGAGCCTGTTCCAGCTCAGCTCACTTTGTCTCTGACATGATTAAAAGTCTCCTATGGAAAGAAAAAGCAACAGTTTGTTTGTTTTCCGTGTGTGCGCTCCGCAGCGGAGGTCACAGAGCGGCTGCAGGGGGGCTGACCTGCACCCAAGGGCTCGCTCCCGGCAGGGCGGTCGAAACCGAGCTGTGCCGGCATCACACCTGCCTGACGCCTGCCCCGCTGCGGTGGCTTCCCACCGGGGCCTGGCACCCCTTCCTCTGCAACGTGACCGTCGTCCCACCGCCTGGACCTCCCAGTGGGTCTGTCTCTCTCGGTGTGGGTTTGGAGGTTTGGTTCTTGGTTTCTCGTCATTTCGGTGGGAGGATCTCACCACTGACGGTGTCCTGCCGGCCTACCCACACCACTTCCCCTGGAGCCAGTGCAGCCTGTTACTCGTGTCGGTAAGGCAGGTCCGTCGCCTCTCCCTCTGGTTTCTGTCAGGACTGGCCGCTGCACCCGGGCTGGCATGGGGTGGCCTGAACCCCTTTCCCGTACTGCAGGCCCCACAGCAGTGTCTTCATTTTACATGTCCAATAATTTAAGTCCTTGCACTGTTTTCTCCCCCAAAACACTTCCCAACTTCAGTGAGCTGGGCTGGAAATGACCTCGTGGAGGACGAGGCCAAAGGGCCTGGGCTGGGCCACCTTCCCACGGCTGGGCACACGCTCCCCCCAGACGAGTCTGCAAACTCCCTCCCATGATCCCAGCCCAGCCACACTCTGCCACCCCAGACCACTCCACCGCCCGCTTGGGCTCCCGGGTCCTGTCGCTAGTCCTTGGAGTGAAAGGTGGGTCAAGGCCGGCCATGGGGCAGACACGGGTTCCAGCCCACCCCGGGAGCCTGTCCAAGGTGCTGCCCGCCCGCCGCTCTGTCCAGTCCGGTTCTTGCCTCTCCTGTCACAGCTGCCATCCAAGGGCACCTGATGACCAGTCTGCCCGTAACCCGCTTCCAGTCCAGTCCCTAAGCCCCTTCCTGTCCTGGGCCGCAGAATGAGGCGTGTGGAGCAAAGCCATCGAGTGGACAGCCGGGCACGGGCCCAGCTGCCCAGCCACAGCCCTGGAGGCCACAAGTGCTTGGAGGTGGACGGGATGGTTCCACAGTGCCCTCCGCTGACGGAGGGATGGCAGCTGGTGAGAGGCTCCAGGGTGCCCAGGGCCTCTTCAGGCTTGAGGCGGACATTCCTGAGATATTATCCATGTACCAGAATGAGAGGCTCTTACTCTAACACTTCTCATTCCTGAAACCGACTGAGAATATTTCTAGCTCTGGAGCCAGGAGTTCCCGGGGGCCACTTTTCTTCACTTTGTTAGAATAGAGGTTTCTCTGACACCTCTTTGGGTCATTTTATCTGCAAGTGACTTTAATGCATGTTACAAAGCATTGCTACTCTTACCTTTTGAGAATATGAACTCACAGCCACGTTGAGGGGAGAAAGTCACAGGCTGTGGGCCCACCGTGGAGACGGAAGGCGTCTCCCATCCAGCCTCCACTGTTATGATGACGCAGACCTGGCAGGTGCTGCTCTGCCCACGTGGCAGCTCCCCTGCCACCCCCA